AGATCATTCCTCCTGTATTTGAGGAACCTGCTCTAGTGGAGGGTATCCCTGCCCATGGCAGGGGGGTTGGAACTAGATGAGCTTTGAGGTCCTTTCCAACCCAAACCATTCTGTGATTCTATGAAAGCAGAAAATCCTTCTGTGTCCAGACACAATCCTCACTACAAAGGCAGTGAGGCTCTCCAGATGTGTGCTGCTTTCCCAGCAGGCACAATGGTCTCACATAGATGAAAAAAAGTTAAGATCTGCAGTGCCAGGTATGCACTGTGTTCTTGAAGCAGCTGTTTACAGACTCAGCAGAGAATATTGTGGATATCTGTCTTACCTCCCACATTTATATACTTCAGAAAATCCCACTTATACAGTAAACTGCTCTGAGTAAAAAGAGTAAAAGCTCTGCTTTTCATGCCCTATTACTGTTAAGGAATGAGCGAAGCATCTGAGCTGTCTGACTGGCTAAATCTCTTGCTGGCACATCTCTCTAAAACACTCCCTGGTATGTATGCTGATACTGAATAATCTCTTTAAATCATATTTGCAAATGTCAAAATTGTACCCAATTGTCTTGTAACAGTGACACCATGGAGACAGGTTTCAGATAACAAAATTCATACGCTAATTATGATTCCTCACTTACCCTCCATCTAATTATGAACCTTATCGATTCAATTCAGTTACAGTTTGAATCTCTCTGTTTCTTGCTTACTGGCAATGGGAACTCCTTCCTCACTTATCTCCCCGCTTAACTCTGTGTGCTGAAATCCAAATAGTCCCTGACAAATCCCACCATGATTTTTTGGTCAGAAGTACTGCAAATCTGTAGACTGTAGGAGGCCAAGTTGGCAAAATTTGCTTTATTCCCCTTGCCCATGTTTTAGCTATACTACAGTTCATGTTTGCATTAATCTTGTTATAAAGCACAACATGAAATCAATGATGTTTATCATGAGAGGTGGTTGTTTTTGAAGACCAGTTGGGAACCCTGAATTTCTAAATTTTGCTTAATTGATACTTTTTGTGGTTCATTACAAAATTACTATGAAGTTAGGCACATTTTTATCCTCAGGTAAATGGTAACATGATTTGCAATAAAACTTAATTGCCATCAATTACTCTGGCAATACTTTAAAGAGCTCCTCCCCTTGAAACATTAGAAAATACCATTCACTGCAACATTAGAACAAGTCAATCTCAAATTCTAAACCTGTTTCCTTCTTATTCCAATATTCATTTAACAATCAGAAATCAGTCAGCTGTTTCATACATTTAGAGCAGAATGTTTAAACAAGAATGTTCTTCATAAATGCTAAGCTGAAAACTGCTTTCTGAGCAATAAAGGAGCAGGCAATTCTGTTCCTGACAAGCACTACTTACAGAAAAAAAATCACTCTATGTATTTCAAATACATTTCACAGTTGAGAGATCTCCATGTTACATTTCTAAGCAGAGCAATACAGAAAAGAAAGACTTTTAAAACATTTCTCACTTCTTTAGATGGTCTCCGTATTGAAAGACCATGAATTTATGACAAAAAGAAAACTATAATGCAGTTGACACAACTTTCTTTTCTCTTCTTAACCTGACTGAATGAGATTAGACAAATGAAAGGAACACTTGAAGGACAATGACCTGGTTATACTCACCTGTTACCAAACACAGCACTCAGCTCATCCAAAACATTGTTCAGCTTCACCTGGAGCTCTTTGAGATGGTCACTTGCTTCTGCATCCAACTGCGGATGAAAGAAGAGCACTTAGCTTGAACCCAGAGGGCATTCTGCTGTTCTTCACCGTGCTCTTGCTCACTGTTGAGGCCACTCTTAATAAGCAGGTGAACCACTGGACTCTGCCAGCTAGGATGCCCTCCTCCACTGCCTGCTGCTGTTAAAGAAGCTGTGAAATTATCAACAGACACTTGCCCAAACAGCAGCCAGTGGTTTCCCCAGGCTCCAATACCCTTCCTGATATGTGTAGAGTTGAGAAAGAAAGTGAATGTGAACTCCCTGTAGCCAACAGAGTAAGCAGGCTGAGAAATAATCAAGCACTGTGCATTTCCTTGGGCTCATGGGTCATTTCACCATTTTAAGTCTCGAAGGAGACAGGGCTTTTCAGACTGGATGTGATTTTCTTGTGCATTTCTCCTGAAAGATGCTATTTCACCTTCCACACTGTTGTCAGTATTCAAAGTGAAGATTGACCCAGCCACTGCTCTCAGAAGACTGGACCCCAGCTATTTTGAAAATCTGGCCACAGTACCATGGCAGGAACTGTTGTGCACTGAGCACTCTTGGAAAGCATGATCTCGGACTTGGGTATTGAGCACAAATAGCTCTACTCTCACACAGAGCTAGATAGCTTTTTTGTATATAACTGTTCAGAGGAGACTTCACAAAACAAACACAAAAAAAAGTGCCCCAAGCACCGCATGGACGCTGCTGACACCTTGGCACATGCTGTAAGAAAGTGCTTGCTCCATTATTATCAGCCCAAAGCCATCTGTTTTTACATTCAACAGTGCCCTGTATTCCAGCTGTAGTCATCCCTCCAGCCTTAAAGAGCCACTTCTGAGCAACTTACCTGTGTGTATACATAACTACACCCGTGGAATGCTTTGGGATCACCTATTCTTAAAAAGTGACTTGTATAACAGATTTGCCTTTGTATGCAGGCAGGCAAGCTGCTTGTAAAACAAAAACCTTCCAGAAATGTTTGTGTTTTGCATTCAGAGCTTCAGCCCTTGCCTCTAAGGCAGAGTATCTATTTACAAATGTAATGAGCCAGATGCCAGTACAGTGAGTGGTTAAAAATCGGTTTAGATTTTTACAGTATATCCATGCATGCAGCTATACTGGATTTGAACATGACAGGAGTTCCCACTTCTATATTCAGTGCTGAAGCCCTCTTCATATTCCTCAGCATCTGTCAGAGAAAGCCAAGCCGCAGGGGATTTGGAATCTGATCCGTTCATTTTCCTGTTGTAAGCTGGCATGGAAAACTGACTCTATTAGGCATTTGAACTGGTGCTAATGAAACTCCTGGATCAGAATTTTTAAAATAATTTAAAAAAACCCCAAATCAACAAGCAAATTATGATTACTTAAGCCTTATAACTTTAGGCATTGCTAGCTCTGATTATTTTTCCTTTATTAAAGTGAATTTATATTCCTATTACCTTTATAACTCCCTTGTTCTATGAAGGCAGAAGGAAGCTAATGTCATGCCCATCAGCAGTCATTCTAGCCAAACTTGTAGGTAACAAAACAAACCCAGCATGTGTTGTTGGTGGTTTGTCTTGCCCTTACACTAATTCTTCCCTCCTTCTACTGTGTGAAGGCGCAATGAGTCACAGGCTGGCTAGTTTCCTACCTAGAATTAATGGCACTGAACAGTTCTCTGATTCTGGCCATTTCTGGTAGATTTGAGGCACGACCATTTCATGATTCATCAAACCATTTCAAGTAACTGCTTGTCCAGTTGGAAAAAAAAAAAAAAGCAGAAAAATTTGGCACAGGGTATCTATTCCTCACTATTTACTTCTACTACTTTATAAGCTACCAGATGCCTGTGTTACAGGTCTACAGGATGTTCGAGGTCAGGATCAGCAACTTTCTGCCCTGGTTCATGAATCATGCAATTAATGCCTTCTTTTACTGTGAAGTGACATGGAGAGCTCGCCAACTACCTCTAAGCTTCTCCTTGCTATTGCACTTCTTGACTGCAAACCCATTTTCTTGGAAGCAGAAGAAAGGTTGATTGCCAGCCCCGTACTGCAAGAAGGGACAGGTGGAGCAATGCTTTGCCAAGGGGATGAGCTCCATTATCTGTGGCAAGGAACTCTCCTCCAGAACATCAGGTCACAGCTCTCTGGGTGCAACTGGCCAGACTTGCCCAGATTTAACTTTGACATGCCCAGCATCACACTCAGGAAGCCAAACCCTGGTGACAAGAACTCTGGTTCATTATCCACCTCTGTCATCATACAAAAGCTGTTTCTTCTGAGGAACTCCTACTATGGAAGGAGGAGTCCACATATTACGTTACTGTTCATTAATGCTAAGGTATTGGAACACTTTGATTTGAAAGCAAATTTCAGGGAATTACCTGACTGTGATTTAATTCCATTAGGAAGACACTGGTATGTTTCACACATATAAATTACGTATCACTTACAGAGTCCCTGTAGCATGTGGTACAACTGCAAACTATTCTTTGCCAATATGGTGAAGCACTGATAACAGTGCTCAAATGAAACTGTGTACGTTTTGCTGCTCCTGCTCAGCCAATGAATTCTAAGCACATCAGCTATCACTGATAGCAGGAAATGCTACTTGGACTGCATGATAAATCTGGCTGGTAAAGCAGAAAGCAATGTTAGGGAGTTGGGTCACTGTCATATGTCAGAGATGATTCAGAGGAAGAAAGCTAATGGAAAGTTCAACATGGGACAGTACCCACAGCAAGGTAGCTTCTGATCTCTGAGCAAGTGCTCCAATTCCAGTGGCAATAATGGCTGATGCGGCCATAGTTCCGTGGTTGAGACTAAATGTGCAGCAGATAGCTAGAGAATTTTGCCCTGCTACCCTATTTTAGCTTTATAAAAGTCACAGAGCTTATATGGCTCCAGCTTGAAGCTGCTGATTTTTGTTCTGCCTCCCTGCACTAGCCCCTGGGAACTCCTCTCTGCAGACGTGACTGTGGGGCGGAAGGTCCACAGATCCAACCTCCCTTTAGGGACTCACTTGCACTGAATTTTTGTGCATCTCCCCATTTTCCTACAGGACTCAAGACTAAGCAACCTGGAACACTGAATCCAAACAACAGCTGCTAGCTTCTCAAATACAAGGGTGGCCTTAGCTATGGCACGTGGGATGCTAAAGAGGAGCAACCAGTAGATACTGCAAATCCTTTGAGAACATTCCTAGCGAGTCTCAGCTGGGTCTAAGCTGTCCTGCAATTTGTTATTCAGGTGGCTAAGTTAGTATTTAAAATGTGGGCTAACCCTGGCTGAGCATTAAGAGAGTTTCCTGAAGCATTAACTGTACAGATTAGCTTAAAACCGAAGGCATGAAAATTGTATGATGACAATCTGCTTCTACTCAGCAGCTAATTCTTCGGGTTCCCTAGGCAGTGCTTGTCTCTGATACTCACCCCACATGCTTGACTTTGGGGGAAAAAAAAGTGCAGAAAGATTTTAAACTAGGCTTCCACAGCACATCTAGACTCCAGCAGTGGGCAATGCAGTACAGCACTTTTTAATTTCAGTGCCATGAGTTCATAAATCATGAAAAGCTAAGCAAAATAATGGAGTCCCAAGCAAAATGAGAAAGGCTTATTCTGGTGTCAGGGACAGTGCACAGAGCAGGCTGAAGTGTGCAGGAAAATTGCAGAGGTGGGTAGAAAATGCATGTCATATTAGGTTTTATTAAATAATGTATGAACAATTAAATAAAAGGGGCCATGTTCAAACAAATGCTACCAATGAATCTACATAGCCCACTTTAGAACAGAGCTAAATTACAATCTCCATTTTGTGGGTGTACTGGAGATGATTCAGAAGAATCAAAGGTTTCAAAAAGTATTCATGTACTCAATTTCTGTCCAGGACTCACCCCAATTCCACAGTTCATTTTGCTTTTAATGCAACCTGCCAGTCCATAAATGGTGCCTTTCCAAAACATGCTTCAGGAATGAATGTCTGAGAATACTGCTGAGCCACAGTGAAGCTGTTTTGATCCTCTGAGATCAATGCAGCTCAGAAGGGAAATAAAAGTATTAACTATAAATCCTAAAAATCATTTAAGATACTTCTTTCTGTATGTGTGTATATATATGTGTGTGCATATATATAAATATGCCTTGAGATCTGAAGCACAGACTCAAGAGAATCCCTCCACACAATGCTCTCTAAAGCTCTGCTGCTATCTTTATTGTTTCCGACTAGTAACGTTCACAGACCACATGATGTCGACATATTAAACCCAGAGATGCTAGGCAATTTTTGCCCTATTTTATGCCTTCTGAGTACTATAGTTGGAAAAAAAAAAAAAAGAAGTGGGGCCAAAGGTACCGTTCCTCATTGGGGGGGAAAAAAAAAGTAAAGGAAGGCACTATATCAAGTAGCCTAATCTCAAGAAATAGTATTAGGCAAGCACTTCTGTTCCATGTTATGCCATTACACTGCAGGGTCACTGTGAGTAGCCCTGTCCCTTCGTTTCTCTTGCTGCAAGAGGGAATCGAGTGATGTGGATTTCCATAGGAGCATATCTCGCACCCACTGGCGAAGAGCACGAGGTAGCACAGGATTTCAAAGCTTTCTGGAGTTGTGCAGTGCTACAGTTGTGGATGGAGATGGATCTATGAATCAGAAGCAGAAGAAGCCACAAGTACACAGTAACTGAAACCAATCCCCAAGTTCTGGCTTCACACATGGTATTTCTAACATATCTGCCACAGGAACAATGAATATTTGGTTCCTAGTTCTCAGTATCTTTGAGAACACAAAAAGGTGAGCAGTTCAAGATGACTAGGACATAGAACTATGCTACTTTCTTATTCCCCCAAGGAAGCAGTTCCTTTTTGGGTAAAGAAGTCAGGACAATGCTTACATTTGTTCAAGCTACTGTGTGATGTATAGATGAACATAAATCAAATCTGTCACAGAAAGTAAGAACTGCTGTTTCTGAAGGAGAGAATAAAACCCATACTGTCTTTCCAGCAGCACGTTTGTCTACATGTTCTATTTTCCAAGCTGTTGTCTCACCAGTTGTTACTCACTAGCCAGGTTCAATCTACATCAGAATAAAGGGCTACTCAAACTAGGACAAGACCTTGTTTACTCTAGCAAAACAGAGGACCTGGCAGGTTTCAAGTCAAGAAGCAAAGTACTACATAGTCACCAAGAGGGAAACCCCTGGGGATAGCAAATAATGCAGGCACCTAACACAACACAATTTATTTCTGGTGATCAGTGGCAGCCTAATGAAGTGGACAAGCAGCATTTGAAAAGAAAAGACAAAAAAAAACCCCTTCCAAAACCCAGCTTCTAGAATGTTTGTTTCGTTTCTTCCTATGTGTTTTATTGCTCACAGGGTTGCTCTGGGTTCCTCTCCCTCTTTTTTCTTTTGATTCCACAGTGTAGGGCAAATAGTGGCTCGATCACCTCTGTTCTACTTTACCTATACTCCTGAGGAAGGTTTTAAAGGGCAGAATGCAGAAAAGAGGTCTAGGCTAGGAAAAGTAGCTGACAGTCTTAGTAAATACTTTTTTTTTCCCCCTATTTAACACACTGTCAGGTGGTATTTTCAATTTGCAGATGGTGTTTTCAATCTGAAATATAGGGAAACCCTACTTCATGGCCACAACTATTGAAAAAAATAGCAAATTGATTCCTTAAGGGAAATTAAGTGCACATGGATTAAAACTTTACAAACCACTAAGAAACATTTCATTACAAGTTTATTTCTTTCTGAAAAAAAGAGCACTTAGCTACCACTGGTATTACAGCTGGGAGCATATAATTCTAGTTCTTGACATAGGGCTTAGAAATTACAGTCATTGAGACCACATGCGAAAGAATGACAGTAGTTTTCCTTGCCTCATGGGGTAAATCTATTTGTTGAGATTTTTGCCACTTCATAGAATTCTGCCACTGAGCACAAGAAAGATTTGAAACAGCAATACAGGCAAAAACTGAGCTGCCCATCAGCAAAGCTGACTTTTCTCTTGGCATATAGGTCATAGCACAGGTTCTACCACAACACAACCAACGAGAATGCACTTAGGCTTTGAAAATAATTTTTTCCTAACATCATCATCAGCAGGCTTTTCTTCATCTTCCTGAATCTTGAAAAGCAATGCAAAAAGAAGAGGAAAAAAAAGATACACAGATTATATCAGAACAGAAACAGTGATCTGGGGGAGGAAAATCTTATATCTGTAAAAATGGCCATCTCAGAACAAAGAACAAAAACTGAGATATTTATATTCATGGACACATCTGAATGTCCAACAAAGCATGAGTATGGAACTCTTATTTGCGTGTCTGCAATATACTAGATATTGGATATTTAGTGCCAAAAGTAGTCTCACATTTATATGCCACATAAAATGATTTGATGTCAATAGTTCTCAGATCTATCTGTCTTCAGAACTGTGAAGCCACCAGCCATGCCCACATCCAGCCCACGTGAGCTTTCTTCCTCCATGCTATTTGATGCTTCAAAATATTCGCTCCTAAGAATGACAAATTTCATTGAAAAGTCTTCAGGCATGGCTGTCGCCTTACACTTATTATGTCACCGGGCTCTCCTTATGACTGCAGTCTGCAAGAACTAGTATGATGCAAGTAATCTAGTAATAGTGCAGCTGGAATGAGTAATACTCAGTCTCTTAGTGCTCTTACCTCTTTACCACCCATGGCTTCAAACATCTTCTCTAGCTGCACCCTCAGCTGTTGGATGTTATTCATCAGGATGCAGGGCTGAAGGAACAAAAGTGGGTGCCTGTTACTGCTCAGGATGCCAACACATTTTCACCAATGGTACAGTCTGTGCCTCAGCACCCTTCCCCAAGTACCATCAGATCTCAGAGTCCAATAGGAGATAGGGCATGCACAGATTTCAGCACTCAAACCTAAAAAAAAGATGAGTCATTTTTTCTCCACCTTGAAATGGGATGGCCAGTTCCAGAAACCTCAGATCAGGGAGATCTCTGATGCCGTATGTTCCGCCTCAGCTTTATCACAGAGAACAAGCTGATAAGAAATCAGTGTCAGGGCAAGGCCCAACTCTCTGCAGCTCCTGCCATGCACTGTAAGTGTCCAAGCTATGTCACCTTCAGCCTGCTAATGCTCCAATGTACTGCTGTGAAAGGTGTACATCCTAGATCACAAGGGGAACTGCCAGTCAAAGCTGTGTTCAGAGACACATCTGGGTCCTGCCAGGCCAAGCTTAGGAGCAACAGTCAGGGGCAGCGTGAGCAATAGACTCTTCCTTCTGCAGTTACATCCCCAGTACAGGTGCCAGAGATAGCAAAACTGACCAAGAGAATTTTACTTAATTCAGAATTAAACAGCAAGGTAATTAGGTGGAGGCAACAGTAAACCAAAAGTGCTGCTGAGTATCAGATTTACAGAGCAACTTGTGCCCATGCTTTAGGGTTTTTTTTTAAATCACTTCTGTGACACACAACCCAGACAAGCAGAGTGGAAGTTAATTTCAGGAGCCCCCAAGCTCTGCAGAGCACTGTCAGGACCCAGTTTTATTTTATGGCCAAGACAGAATTCAATCCACAAAAGTGTAGGAATGATGACAAAAACCAATACTGAAAATATTTACACCACCAACATGGTCAGGTGCAATGCAAGAAACTTGTTTTTATGAGGACAATTATGTGATTCCTCAGGGCAGAAGAGAAACTCAGCATGACTCACCAGTTTCTCCTTGGAACAGTAAGACTGGAAGCTCTTGGAGACGATGTCAGCATACTGCATCAATACCTTCCCAATAGTCTGCAAAGACAAGATGTGAGCACTGTTTACTTGTCTTGTATCACTCCAGGAGAACTTCAAGCAATAAAATAAAAAGCCACGATACTGTTTTGCATCCCACTAAGGGAAGATAAACAGTAAGATGTTGAGGGTGTTACCTTAGCGAACCTCCTATTATAATGAGCAACAATCATCGGGTCTGGGCACTCCAGCTTCTTAATGATCTCAAAACTCTGGTTGAGCTGGGTGAAGACGTCCACTACTGAGCAAGAGAACAGAGCATGCTCGGACGTTTGCTGGAACTAAAACAGAAGTACAGTGAGTAATTTTAAAATGGAAAGATCTGAAATACAAACATTTCATGGGTGTCTCCATCATCTGCCGTGTTGGAGACAGGACAACTTTACCAAAACCTACATCTTCCACAGAATTAGTCAAAAGGTCTCCAAAAGGCACAGAGGAGCTAAATAGCCAATTCTGTTGTGTTATACATTTACTGTCCTTTACCAACTATGACATGACAAGCACCAAGGAAATGCAATATAATGCTGAGACCCTTAATGAAATGCACAGCCTGCCTGTCAGTTAAAGGGTTAAAGAGAATGAAGAGGGTTTAGATTTTTCTTAAAATTAAGACATTAAAGAGAATGCTTACATTAGCATCATAGGCTACAGTGCCAACAGTCACTGAACAAATGGGAAAGCTTTTGCTCTCCATCTGGAATACTCAGCAAATTAAGAGTAAGATTACTCTGTCAGTGGATTAAGGTCACATTCTCACTGCATGACTAAGTACATTCAAAACACCTTATATTTCAGATACATCTCACAAACACAGAGAGATGACAGAGCACCAAGCTACTGGCTGACAGATTAACAGCAGCAGAGCAGAACAGACATAAATGAATGATATGCACCTTGCTATTAAACAACTCTGTGACCTGTAGAGAAAAGTCCTAAAATAAATGAGTTTCCCAGTTGTTTAGCAAGTGAAAAGGGCTGCATCCTCTGTTTGTATGACTGCTGAATTTACAGTGTTGTTGTTCAGTTGTGGGCACTGAAGGATGCCACGCCAAGTCCTCCACTCAGAGTGACCTACGTACCCCATCTTTTTTATCTCTCTCCAGAGCACCGTGCAGGAATTCTAAGGAAACATCTTCATTTTCATCCAGCCACTGCATCACAAACTGCTCAAACCACCTGCAGGAGGGACAGGAAAGACAGCAAGTTAAAGCAAGAAACAGGGCACCCCTTGTGAAAACTCCCCACGGTTAGATTTCTGAATGCTGTTATCTGTGCATGCAGCCAAAGTTTCCAAAAATACTAGTACCTGAACGCAAGCTATCAGTGAGCAGGGGCTGTACCATCGTTTGGTCTGGACAAGCAGGACACAGCCCAGCCCAGCCTCTGCAGATTGTTGGTCCTGTGCTGGTTTTGCCCTTCTCCCCTTTTTTTTCCCTCTTTCTTTGTATCTTCCTCTTTTTCCCCCTTGAGCACCACCTCTAACTGTGCATCATCTCAGAGCACTTTGTCTTTTCTTCTCCTTTCCCCCCATGTGCCAGATAGGTCAAAGGAGACCCCCAATACCACTGTCTCTACATGCTAAGAGAGAGTGTCTTGCTGTTCATTTGGGACTACCATCTTTCACATGAGAGCTGCAAATGAGTATAAGGGGAGGAAAAGCAGCACCTGTTTTCCAGGGCCCTTCAGCTACTTTATCTGCAGACACAGACATACTTCTGCAGTGCCAGAAGGGAGAATCAAGGCTAAAAGTTTTCTCCACTGTAGCTCTGCTCTCCCTTTCCCCAAGCGTTCTCTAGAATACCCTCCCATTTCTTTGGACTGCTGATCTCACTGTGACGATGCCTGAGTACGATTAACTTCTGGTGATATCATGGCACATCTGCTGGGGTTTGCAGGAAGCTGGCCAGCCCTGTAAGCAGCTCTTCATTGTTTTCTTTTAAAGAATCACAAACTTAGTTCATGTTAAGTGCTGGACCAACAGCCTTGGAGCATGGTCAAATTCCTAAAACAGGCAGGTCCTGGAAGCAGGACAGCAAAGTTTGTCTCTCTTCCTCCTTCTCACTTTGGAGGATAAGCTAAATGGTAGAGCAGAACCCAAGAAGCTGCTGAAACAGCCACTGCTGTATCTCAGGGAGATGCCTTACATTAGGCAGTATCTGGAGATATCTCCTGTGCTGAACTAAAGGCTTCTACACAACCCCACCTTGGCCAAATAGGCAAGGTGAGAAACAGCTTCAGTGACTGGATCTTACAGCTGGTCATCCCTCTGTTCTCTGCTCTGTGGGACATACCCACGTAATACAAAAGCGGGGTGGGTATGCGTGTCTGTGTTTAAGCAACAACATAGCACTTACAGCTTTATTTAAATGTCTGTTTAGGATTTGTGAGTGCAAGTGCCAACATATCACAGCTGAAGCAAATCTTAATTTCAAATATTACTAAACAGCATTCACAAATAAGGGAAAAATGTGTCCATGTGTGATTTCAGTCCATACAAAAGATTACTGTATGAGCTTCACAGAGTACAGCCTCCTCTAAACAGGCAACTGCGTTCATAGAGATTGTGCTAATTATGGGCTGAGTTTGCAAAGAACATGAAAGCATGTGCCAGACATGAGAGGGAGATCAAGAGCAAATTCACAGAGCATACTAGGTAGCCTTAAATACTCTCTACACTTTGAAATAGAAAGCACATCAATGCTAATATTGGAAATTGTAACTGACACAGTGTTAAATGCCAACATCAACCTGTCTATGCAGCCCTATTTAATATAGACAGCAGTAGTAGAACATTATCACAGACATATGGACTTCCTGCCTTCTGGAAAAATTCCTTTTCAATGGCATTCCAGGCTCCTAAAAGTCAGCATATTTGGGAGTTTGCTGCAAGTTTCTTGAGCTTTCAACATTTGTTTTAAATTACAATAGTGTGTTTTAAAGCTACAGTTCTATCCTTAGATGATAACTCAGGCAGTTTACAAGAAAGCAACTACACATCTTCCACCTCTTCCAGAGTTTCCAGGCTGCAAGTTGCTGACTGCTTCGCATGTCGTAGGTCCATGTACAGTGAGGATTACCTGTTTGTGCCAGAAGCCACAATTTTCACTCTGAGAAGTAGAACAACTTCTTGATTATCATTCATCCTTAGTTATTGCCTCATATCCATACAAAAGGGCCTTTCACTGTTGAGAACAGTCATTGCTCGTTTTTATGGCTACCCTATGTTGATATACAAAATCAAGTGCATAGGTATTTTACTGTCTTACCAAATTGTCTAAATAAAAGTGGCAAGAAAAAAGGTAGTGCTGAGTGGGGAATAGGGGTGGTGTGTTTGTTCTCCCTCCCATTAAAAAAAGGTTTACCTCCAGAAAGAGGTTTAAGATGAATATTCAAGTGCAAAGTGAATCACTTAGGTCAGGTCAGGAAATTCTGTAACTACATTTCCAAAGTCAGCCTCAACTTTGTCTTTTACTGGCTGGCAGGAAAACACAAGAGATACAAATAATCTATAAATACTTCCAAGTCCCTGAGCACATTCAGGACCAAAACATGCTTTGAGCTGTAACACAAACCTAGAGTTATCTTAGGCCAAATACCCCTTACAGTCTTTTACTATCAGGTCTTGGGCTGCTGAGCAAGTGGGGGAGAACTCTGGGGACTACAAAGGCAACAGAGCCAAAATGATATTCAAAATTATCTAGCGGAGAAACTAATAAAAATAATCTGATTTCACAGAGAAATAGCTTCAAAATGTTGTTACATGGCAAACATCTTCTTCCTCATCTGCTTCAATTATTGATCTAGAGTCAAACACTGTAACGGTTCATGCACCAGCACACGAGGCAGAGGCTTGTGGTGCTGCTTCAGAGACATTCTGTACTTGCAGAGGTCAGCTCAGCCTGACTCAAGATGGCAGAGCCAACCTCTGCAAATGAGGTTACCCAGAATATGCCTCAGTCCTGCCTGCTGGGAAAGGGAGCGGCGCTTTGTGTATTGGTTGCACAACAGTAAACATAACACAAAAGGATGCAATTTCAGCTTGGCCACGAACCTGGCTCCTGTGGTCTCAGGCTTTACAGGTGGATTAATCTTGTTCTTTTGCTGTGTTGATGCACGTGGGTACCCACGTGAATATCCTGTGGCCCTTGGCAAGCACAGAGGCAAGAAGGCAGGCAGGGTTTCCAACAGTAAAAGAAGTAAATACTATGTTTGATGATGTGCGCCAGAAGAATATGACAGGATTTCAAAGGAAGGAATGCCTTTCCCCACCAGAGTGGAGGTAGTCTCCAGTACAGCTACAATACTGGCTGCATGCTAACATCAGTATTAAAACAGAACAAAGAACACTTCTTCACACATCTAAAAAGCTAAGGTGGTTTTTTTTTTTTAAATTACACTTCACAGCTTTTAGATCCACTCCCAGCTATGTTGTGACTTCAGTTTAAGAAACTGCTGCTGAATGTCAGAAACTAAGGGGGCATAAAAACTTCAGCTGTAATACTTTGGAGTCTTCACTTTATTCAATCATATCTCAAGGCTGTCAGAAATACGGTTTCTCATAGTTTCTACACAAAAAGTGAGTTTGTAGATAGCCTCTTGTCTGTTGAGTAGACAGACAACTCAGCTGTTCTCTGGACAGCAGCAATTTAGTTTCATCTAAAGAGTTTACTGACGTGCAAACCCAATGCATGGACTCTTTTGTTTAAGAAAGCTTCAAGACTAAAAATACCTGTGATGGAGCAAATCAAAGGACAAGAGCACATTGCTGTAATTGACACCAAGGGGATATTTCATGGCAGGTGAAGGTTATGGTTGAAATAAACATCACCTAGGTCTGACAACGTGGCTATTGTACTAAAATACAAGAGTGGAGTAGTAACAGAGCCAGCGGCTGCAAAGGTACATGAGTGCTGAAGCTCTACCACAAAGGCCAGCAGAGCAGAATAGTCTGCAAAAGACTGCAGAATGAAACCAAGCATCATTATCCTGATTACACAGGAGAAGAAAAGAGATTAAGAATATATGATGGCTTGCCTGAGACTGCACTGACTCAGAGGCACAGCAAAGAGAACAGGGCTTCCAAGACTGTCACTGCAGCACCCTATTCACTGAGTTAATGCCTCTCGCTGACCTGATTTGTTAAGCCAGGCCCATAGCCCAAGCCGAGCAATTATGCCAACTGCCTCAAGTCTTATTAGTATGCAGCTAGCACCAGCCTTGAGGGACTGTGTGCACTGCAGGATGGGAAGAGAATTCAAAACGCCAAACTGGAAACACAGTCAAGGTGAGATTTATTTTTTTTTTTCCAAGAGGGGTAAGTGCAAAGTGCTGCATTTAGAAAGCAGTGAACAGTCATACACAGGATGGGAAGAACATCTATGTAGGACAATCTGTTAAGGGTGCCTGGGGGCTGGCCTGTGGCCCACTGGAAGCATCACTACTCAACGGTATCATTGAAGAAAGGGAAAAAAAAAAAAGGCTGCTATTATCCCCAACGTGTAAGGGCTGCAGCACTGTCTGCAAGGAAATGCAAGGCAAGGCCTAGATGAAACATCAGTTTTTAAGTCTGGATGTTACATGTTCAGACACACACCAGCTGGAGAGAAGTGAGTAAACCTCACTTACAAGGAAAGCTAGGAACAAACAGGAACCAGCAGAAGACTGGGAATGGACAGGAGAAAAGCATTTTACTCTAGTAAACCAGGAACAATTTGTTCTCCACGCCCAGGCTGGTAGGACAGGATATAACAAGTTCAAACGGAAGCAAGAAAGGTTTGGAGGGGAAAAAGGGGAGTATATTAAACCCCCAAAACCCAGTGGAGGAGTAACAGTGAAGCACAGGGAAAAAATGCTGCTTGAAGGAGATGTGGAGCAACCATCACTGAAAACCTCTGAAACACTGTTAAACACTGGTCAGAAACAACACACCTCCTTTTGCATTAGGCCAAGTGTGGGACTCTAGCTATGGTATGCTCTCCAGGTTGCTCAGACAACATTTTGGGCTCATAAATCTTCTTCAGGTCTGACATCTACTGCTGCTCTTGTGAAGTTAAATAAAAGTTGCAAGCAATTGCTTAGAGATTAAGAGTGACAGCTTATCTGATGTTTCCAACCAAACCACCTGGTCTTACAAAAAAAAGAAAACATTATCTTTACTTACAAATCCTGTTGTGTGTGTATACATATGACATTCATACACACATATATAGATTACATACAGTACATACAGATAAAGTTGTATCTATTAACACAAGAATGTAGGCATACATCCTGAAATCTGCTGTTCAAGAATTGCCCAAAGCCCACACTGCAGGCACAAAGTGGCTTAAAGACTGTCCATGCCATTGCTAAAGCTTTTAAGATCTTGAAAGATACTACACAAGAAGGGATTGAATTGTGTCAGGGACAGTGGCACAGAACACCAGAAGGCACAAACATGCATATAAACACAGAAAATCAGGAGTGAAGAAACGGTATATCATGAAGGCAACCACAGGAAAACCAAATGACTACCAAGGTAACATAAGGAGATGCATAGTGGGAATTTACTATAGGAGACATAACACACTCACGCTGGATATTCAGGCACTTGTCCCTTGAAGGCAGGCAGATCACGAACATATTCATTGTACAGCCACTTCACTTTGAAGTGTAAATTCATATAGTCTGCACTTTTACATATTCTGTGTTTCTCATGCTCTGTAAGGAAGGAAACAAAAGCAGTTAGGTCTGACCACCACGTCAGGCACATGAGGGTCTTACAAAGGATGTTCGCAGTATGCAATAGTTTTGAGGATGAAGCACCTATATAGCCACAAAATCTTGACAACACAGGGTTTTGGCAGCATGCAGGGTTCTTTGTGGTTGACTGTTGGGGCTCTGGAGTTTATTTCTGTAGCTCCAATTAACACTTCCATTTGTTAAAGACTTTTTGGTTGTCACAGCAATAAAAATAGAGCAATCTCTTATGGCCTTTCCATTTAACATATGACAGTCCAGATTTCATCTTTGCAGGAAACAAATCAAGGAGAGCAAATCTGTTAATTCTTGAATATAAACAAAGGCAATACCAACATGTTACACTACATCCCCTAAGAGACAAGAGCAGAAAGAATCAAATTCTTTAGAGCTCGACAGTGTAAGTCACAAGCAAATTCAAACAAGCTACACAGGAGCTGGAGTCTTCACTGATCTCCAGCTTGGAGAAATTCATGACACTTCTCTTTCAGAAGGCAACTGTTTTCTCATTTGTATTGCCTTCCTGAGGACAGTCCACTGAAGTGACCCATGGATATCTACCTGCTGCCAAGCCTCTTCCTCCTGCCAGGTTCCGTTATATTTCTGTATCCAGGCTATGTCGGGACAATGCAGTTCCTCCCTGTATAACACAAATACCTCCCCAACACAACGCTTCCCAGGCACCTGTGCTGCTAAAGCAGTTGCCATAGTCAGAGCTACATTTCTGCAGAGATCATCTCCCTAGACCACCACTCCTCTTTCTCTCGCACAAGAAATGTATGCTCAATGTCTTTGCTCTCAAGGTCCTTTACAGCCTACATCCACACTACCATCTTTCAGTAGTTGACTCCCACCTTTGATCAGCCCACAATCCCTCCTTTTGAACTACTTGTTAAGTTTTCCCAAAAGCATCTCAATGCTTTCTCCCAAGCCATCTCTTGAGGGCTTGCACAGACAGCTCCTTCTACTGCACTGTTTTTCTTCAAAATCCTCCTTGAAAAGATAAAATGGATTCCTTTTCTGTGATTCTAAGAGGACTCAGGAGCCAGCGTTTGCCTGCACTGCAATCCTGAATTTTCAGCTGACCAATTCTGCACCGCCGCTCCCTAGTGCCACCTGTCCATATCCATCTCTTTGTCCTGCCAAGCTTCAACAGCATGAATATGCTTTCTGCCAGTCCTCTTTGTTCACTCTAGCATCACAGCAACCTGCTGGTCCATGACTACAGTGTGAGATATGAGACTAAAACACACGTGATTTTGGGCTTAGACTCAGGGTTTTTTCCAAAATTTGACTTTAGACGTGTCTTCCTACCTTTTGTATGGTTACATCATTATTGATATAACTCTCCAAGCGCATCACTGCTGATGTGTAAACAGGATCCAACTATGTTAAGAACAGGAAGTTTTTCTCTTAACTTTGAATAGCTTTAATCCAGTACTTTGGTACGAGTATCCAATAACTGGGTAGATAACATGCATGCACGAACAATACATGCTACACATATTCATCAGCAGATGATACACCTTAGTGATGTAAAATGGCCCCAGCTTTCTAACCAGTTACCTGACAGACAAGCTTATCTTACAATATTATAATCTATTTTCATGTAAATGTGAATTCTTGCAACTATTTCAAAACATTAAGAAACTTCCACATCTCTCTGGAAGCTTCAGCAACATGCACGAGAAGAAAGGCCGAATAAATTATGAATTACCCAACTGAAAACACAAAATCCAAAGAACTTTTCATGCATAATTATTCCATAAGCCTTGTCAACTCCAGAGAGTTGTTTGCAAAACTCTGTAAATATGTAATACAGATTCCCTTCTAATTCTTCTAATTCACATGTAGCAGATCCACACAGATACAATCTCAAAAAAAAAAAAAAAAAAGGGGGGGAAAAAGGGGGGAAAAAGAAAAAAAAAAGGAAAAAAAAGGAGGGGAAAAAAAAAAGAAACCCAACCTTTGTTTTAAAGAAATTAAAATGCCCAATATCTGAGAGACACAGTCCCCAGGGGTGATGGTTCAATGGAAAAATTACATGTGCTATTGTTTCACATGTACTGTGATCCATTACTCTCCACAGTGAATTTCCTTGTATTGGAGGCAAGGAAAGTCCGTTCCTGTTTTACATTAATAAGACTAGTATCTTTCTTGAGCATTAAGTAAGAGTATACTCAGTGTCTGAACTGCTGACCTCCCTCAAGAACAACTGCAGAAGAAAATGCAAAGCTCTCTCCGCAGATCTAAAACTGGAAACAAACACAGCAATAACCGTGCCTGCTTAGCTCCCTGCGAGAGCGAGGAAATCAATGGACAATTATAACTTCATTAACTTTGATATGCACTGCCACCCAGGTGCTTTCCCTGCATGGGGAAAGCGCTGTTCCTGCATAGGGAAGGTCTGACTTGGAGGTAAAAAGGACTCAAATCACATTTATTTCCTCAAAATTAAGCAGTGCACCAAAAGCAAGTAACTCAAGACTTTTCCTGGGTTTTTAGGACATTTAAAATACTACTAAGTTGCAGAATAGGAAGATGCAAAGCAGCCACAAAAGCATAAGCCCAAGGACTGCTACTAGAACTACCTAGTCATCTAAGCAGTAAAGGAGAGGCTTGACACCAAGGGGATAAAACTACAGGAAAGTAAAAGAAAAAAGGAGAGATCTTACCACCATAAAAGAGAACTTTACGTATGCGAAAGAAAGGTGGGGCTTGTAACAGAGCAAAGACAAAAGTGAACTATAACAGCTCAAACATGCTGGAGGACAAAGAAAGCCCCAAAACCCCCTCATCCCCAACAGCTTGTACCATCTGCCTTCTCCCCTTCAATGGGCCCTGCACGGTTTTGATCAGCTGTTTTTTCTGGAAAGGGAAATGTTTAAGAGCACTTGAAGGTGACACGGAAACACGTTGCCTGGAAGCATACTTTGAAAACCCATTTTAGAAAAAGTGAAAAGCACGGGAGCCATCAGACTTAGCACATTTCTGTTCTGCTTTATAACCTGCTGGATTTTAAAGAGCTTAGTGGCAGCAACAGTGGAAGAGTGCACAGATATTTTTCAGCAACTGCTGTGTTTTATCCTGAAAAGACCTCAGAGTTCTCTAAGTCTCTCATATTTCCTCAGCAGATTTCATCTGCAAACAGTTTCCTCTAGAGAAGAGCTTTTAGGGTCACTGAGGCCATATTATTGAGGCATTAATAGGGAACTGCTTCCTAGCAGCACACTTTCTAGAATCGTATCCAGTTCTATTTTTCAGGCAGAGAACAGGACTTTCACCACATCCTTAATCCGTGGATTTTTCTCTTAATTGTCAGCCTACTTTCCATGAGTTAATTTCTAGCAAATAATGATGAATTTCTGCAAAGAAGCTCTAGTAGGTGCTGAGGCTGTTGAAGTGCTAACGCTTTAGACAGCTGGCATCTGTGTGTGCATCTGATTCTCCTCCCCTTATTAGAAGCAAGAATGTGACAGAATGATTTATTTCAATCCTGCCCGCCAAGTCTACTCAGTCTCTCTTCCTATCAGAGATGCTCTTAATTTACAACTCTCCTCATGCTCATATATCCAAAATAAGATGAACCATTGTTGTCAAGGACGACGTTGATTTTCTATTACTAACTTTTAATGTCTTCCTAGCAAAGGAAGAGCAGAAGACCTCTTTGCTTGGAGAGTTTGTGCTTTCTGGGTCACCGAGCTTTCACAGAAAGCAAGAAAACCAGTAACTCTATTTAACATTGGGCTTACAGGGAGGTTATCCAGCTGCTGAGCACTGGTCAGCGTCCCAGAGGTGGAGATAACTGTATAACCTGGAAAAATCATTCTCTATACTACAGTGACTCCAGGATAGCATGATCTTGCCAGCCAAATCTTGGCTACACAACACATCTACCCGACCCGTTTTACTCTTGGGTTGATGGGGAAAGAGGGATACTTCACAATGCCCTGTCCTGCACTGCCTTTGCCAGCGAGGAGGGAAGGGCCAGGTATGCTGTTCACAGTTCCCTGAGCTGTCACTGCTCTAGGGGATAAAGAAAACAAACAAGCAGGGTAACTCCTGGAGCTTCTGCTGTGTCTCAGAAGTTGAGTCTCCTTAGGGGAGACAATGGCACAAGATAGGTCTGCAGTGCACTTGCCTTCCAGCAAACACACTGGTGCCCCGACTATTGCTACCAGTTGCTGAACATTTTTTAAAGAGAAAATAGGTGTTTCATTTTTATGACTTGAACATTTTACACATTAGCAATCTAATGCTTCAAAAGGTGCCCAAAGGACAAAGGCTGCAGCATCCACAGGCTAGCAAGACTTCTGGTTCTGAAGCCCCTGAGCTCTGTATTCGAGGTATAAATTAGCATTTATACATTGCCATGCACATGGGGGTGAGCTCCAGCTGGGAGAGGCAGGGTTAACTGCCACCCCCCAGGGAAAAAGGAAAACAACTCATGCAGGCAGGCATTGCTCTCCAGCTCAGAGAAGCCATCCTCCCCGAGCCTCCCAACTCTCTTCCACACTGCATATTGGAGAGCAATGTGGAAACATCAGGCTGGAAGGAGGGAGTGGGCGGTTTCACGCAGCCAGGCCTACACTCTTCTTACACCAAAGCCATTTCATGGCCTTTAAGCTAGAAGAAAATTTACTGCCTTTGCAGACTGAAAGGGCCAGAGATCATCAAGCGTCATCCCAGCCAGGAGGGAAGGAATAGAGCCACACATGAACTGGAGCTCTGACCTCAGCGGTTATTCTTCATCAGACATTATCTGACATTATCAGACATTAGATCTTAATGCTCGGGACCCGGGAAAGTGGCTACTGCCCAGAACTGCTGAGCGTATCAGGTACTCCGAAAAAACAACTTCAGTGACTAGTCAGAACAGGAGTCCCCTTACAGCACATACCCTCATTTCCGCAGCAGCAGTATGGTCTTTCAAGTCTTCTTTGCAGAGCTGCTCATCACTGGCATAAAACTACAGGACGCTAAAGCTAATATTAGCACCTACAGCCAAAGTGCTAAAACTATGGGTAACAGATAAAAGTCTTTGCCTACTCACAACTATAAAATCTACCAAGGAGCATGAACTTACCACTTGGTGAGGTGAATGAGCTCATGTTATCCAGAACTTAAGAACAGAACATAACAGAAAACACCATGAAGAAAGTTAGAAGCAAGTGTTACACTCTGGGTTCATGTGCACATACCTCCACAAACAAGATTAGCTTTTGTTGCAGCGACCTCCTGATGCATGCAGATCTTGAAGCACACCAGAAATGTACCCAAGGATTACTCCACACACTGGAAAAGGCAGGGATGTGAAACTCTTGGTGTATTTAAAATGGTACAAAAATGAGCAACTCAAACTGAGTCAAGAGCTGAGGACAGCAAATCTAATCATCACCTTTCACATCCCTTAATCTGTTTCCTTTAATCCTTTTTCCCCTCATTTAAAAAAAAAATGCAGTGAGCTAATCCAATCATCTGTATTTAAAATACATGTAGTAAGGCCTGTAATTGAATTATTGTGGAGCTTGTTATAAAGGTTATCTTGGTAAGTTTCTGGAGAGCAAAGCAGTGCGGAATCACACTTGCCTCAAATAGAATTCTGCACTCTGAGGATTTCTTGAATATATATTTGGAAGAGACACCAACACAGACTCTGTCATTGCTCAATCCTCCTGCAGGACTTGCACAGCTAGAGTACCAATATATGTATGATGCAGTTTTTCAGCTTTCGTTGAAAATGCAAACCCTTCCCTCTCAGTCAGCTGCCTTTGTGTCAACTTTTCTCACCAAGAAATACTCTGAAGAGGGGTGCTCTTTCAGCATATTTGCTATGCACTGATGAACTCATGGGTGGAAACATCACACCAATCCTTGTCTTAAGAAGCTCACAAGTGACACATCACAAGAAGGATGTCAGGAAAAGCTAAAATAAGCCCAAATTCACCAAAGGACAGAGTCAAAGGGGACATGGTTTGAGATGTGAACAAAGAAAACCTGGAAGGCTGAGTTAACCTGGGCACTGGCAATCAGAGTCATTTAAAAGAGGAAAAAAAATCAAAGTCATGTCCCTTTAGACAGTCAAATTCACACACACAATCATTAACATTTTTGCAGATGCATTTTGGATGCAACAGAGAAAGGAAATCTTAGGGAAGTTAGCAGCTAGATCTGGAGAGAACCAATTCTCATGGCTGCTGATAAAGGAGAAAGATGTGGCACTTTTAACATGTAGAAGAACAAACTGCATTATAAATTCCTGAGGGTGGGAGCACAGGGGTAAATAAAGACAAAATGAAAAGGGGAGCCAAAATGGTTTGCAGGAGCAAACGGCTTCTAAGAAAAGTGAACATGATGTTATCACAGTTGTTTTATCTGTAACACATTAGCAAGTAGTGACAGTCACTATAAAAGAGACTCTTCAACGTAGCAGGTCTTAGTCCTTCTTCCCAGTATCTGTTCTTACATCAACAGGACCTCACAAGACAAAAGCACCGTGGGGTACAAGCATATATAAAAAGTTCCTAACACAGAAGTGAGAACACTTCATCCAGACGTGCAGCCTGCTGAATTCAAGCCTAGAGCTGGCCAAGGGTGTCCCCACAGCACAGTCTGTACCCCTGTTGTGTTGACAAGAGACTAGGAAATAGATGGAGTCAATCTTCTTCATTACAGAGCAACCTCACAGACTGTTGCCGAAGAGCAAAATGCAGGAAATTCTTTGCTGTCAGCAGGTTTTTTTCTAGCAGTCTGAAGTAAGACTCTAATAGGCTGTCACTCCTGTAAGTGAACTTGCATCAAACTGGGGGCAAATGAATTGAGCATAATTTTGTGAGTGACCAAAAGCAGTAACTTGACTTAGTTTTGTAATATTAATACAGGTAGCATGCTGTTGGCAGCATTGGCACTTTTGTTTCACCAGATTATCACCTTATAGATGATCATAAAGCCACTGCAAAATACTGGGAAAACAACTGCTGCCACAGCTGCAGAGCTGGTGGGAGCGGGATGCCCTCTGAAGCTTGTAAGAAGCTGATTACACTCTGCAAATGAATTTATAGAACTAAAACCAAGTTCAGAAATCATAACCGACCATCAGAAGAGTACTGCAAGTAGCAGAATTCCTTCCTAGGAGTTTGTTGGTCTCTGCATGCCTAACTCATTTTCAGAAATGGTAGGAGTACTAGGTGGAATTATGCTAAGTTTAATTCAAAACGAAGACGTCTGCAGCAGGATTTGTTCTAACAGCACGTTTCTGCCAATGGTTTAGACCATGTCTGCTGTATCATCCAGGGAACCACAGCCATGGCACAACCCAGAGTCCACCTACTTCTCCAGCCCTTACATTGCAGAAAGAAGCTACTGCTGATCTAAGTCATCATATCATCAGTCCAAAGTGAACTTCTGATTTCAAACCAGCTGGGATGACAATAAACAGGTTGCAACACAGCCTGGCACACAGGTCTAGAGCTCATGCAGATCTCAGCCTCAATTCTCACACATAAAGCAGCTGTTCACAAACCACGAGAAATCCCTGCTCCAAATAGTGATGCTACTAATAATATGCTTAAGCCTCATCTACACCAAATGGATGGAGAACAAGAGATCACCAACAAGTCAGTGGGCAGCAGTGAGGAACTCTCTTACCTTCCATGGCGTATTTCATATCTTGGGCAAAAAGACTCCACATTACCTCCGCGCTGATCTTCCCAACAGCCAGCTCTTGAGGAAATCTGCGGGGACATTTGGGAAAGTCTTTGGCATGTATTAGAACAAAGGGCTCTTCTTTGTTCACCTCTGAGCTGAACTACAAGTTGAAAAGCTCAATGTTACAGAGGCTTCCTTCACCCTAGATAAATGACTACGTGGAAACTGGAGATCATGGACCGGACTCTCCTAGAAGATATGCATACAATAATTCTGGAAATCTGATCTCAATGCCCTTGCACCTTTTTCCCCCTTCTCCCCTTTCTTGTCCATATTTTTTTTTCCCCTTTTTTTTCCTAGGGTTACTAGGCTGACAGATGAAGACTAATCAGGTATCCCTGCCATGTTAAATCAATGATCACTAGGGCACAAGCCAGCCCTTTGTATATTAGACCTTGTCAGGTATCTCCCTCTCTCCTGCCCTGTGGGACTGCTGGAGGAGTAACCACCGGTTAAACAGACCAGTTTCAGGTTCCTTTCCAATGCTGTGCCAACCCCATCAAATGCAATCTCCCCAGTGCTGCACTGAACACCACATTCCTAAATCACAACGTAAGGTGTTGTCACCATGGCACCACTGTGTGCATTAATGTGCATCCCAGAACTGCTCAACATCAGAAAAAACCAAAAGAACTCTCACCCCATTTTCAGGTGCCTCCCTGAGTTCAGGATTGTAAAAATCAGGGTGTTTGTGCTCGAACGCCATCGTAACTGAACCTTTTGAAACTCTTCCATCCCAATCAAAAAGAGTTATTTATATAGACAGAGACAGATAAGACAGAAAGACAGACAGACAAGATAAGTACTTCTATAAATACACAAGTGACAGAAGAGATAGAAAGCAGTTTAACAAATAAAGCAGAGCACACAGAGACTAGCATTAGCCATACAGGACATGGATGATTCTTACTGATTCAGGACTGGGGTGTAAGAATTCTTGTCCTCTTCTATGATGGAAACTATCAAAGTAATGAGCTTCGGCCAGAAATCCAGATTCTTTATGCTGGGGCCCTGTTCCTCAGGAGGAAGGTCCTGATTTTTGTTCTGGGAAAGAAGCCATTGGAAAACCAGTGTAAATTTAAAAGGGAAAGGAAAAGCTGGCAAATGTAGATGATCATCCAAACTCCAAACACTAACTACCTGTGGACCCTTTCTTCTGAAGAGCTTAAAATTATTAATGTCTGCTGGGAACTTGTGTGATCTAATGCAAAACACAGTAACATGCTAAACCATGTTGCTTACCAGTAGCCTCAAACCCAAATAGTCCCTGTTTTGTCATGTACCATGCCAAGAGCAGATCAGGCTCCAGGAGACCTGCTGAGACATCATTTGCTCTAAGCTTGTTCCAAACACTCGCATTTTAGGCACCTGGCTTTATGGCTATATCCACATTGACACATTGTGTGTGCGTTACTGCAGAGTGGCCAGTAGTGCTCTCAAGGATTTGAAGAGTTTGTCTAGAGGTACCTCCTAAGCCCACTGCAGGACACTGGGTGCCAGAAAACAAGATAAAATTTCACTGCTTGAGGTTTATCTGTGCTGAAGACAGTTTGTTGATCAGTCTACGTGTGCTCTAATAGGCTTTTGCTCACTCGAAAGCTGCATCAAACTTTCTCTTCACAAATAACTGCTCATGAAATAAAATAGCTGAGGCTGGCAAAACAAATCGTAATTAGTTAGTGTAAAACAATTATTATCCACCAGTTACTAATTAGTTCTCATTAACTGATTACAAGTTTTGTGCATTCAGAAGATAAGTCACATTATTTTTTTTTTGTGTTGGCTTTTTATATCAATTAGTATTCTCATTATTATCTTAAGAAAATCAGAAACTTGGATTTCTGCCCACTTATCAGCTACTCACAGGATCTGTCTGGTACTCGCGACTGTACAGCTCATGACAATTGTTGAAAATGTACTCATAGGTGGAGTTGAGGCAAGCTTTTACACAGTCCTTCACTACCTGGCTGGCTCGGGGTGGACTCTGCAGCTCTTGGACCTGGCAAGGAGACAACAAAGAGAGTCAAACAAAGCACTGTTCCTAAATCAAACAGGGAAAGAACAAGTCACCGGAGTTTGGGAACTACCCAAGGCTTGGTGGATCTGCTTTCAGTGACTTGTGCTATCAGTGGCCTGAAACCATGAACAGGTCCCTCTGCCCAGGCACTTAAAACAGCAGCAACACCACTTCTGTCCCCGCAGGATCATTTGGAGCATAAAAGAGATTTTGAAGTGCCAAGGAAGATTCTTCAGAATAAATAAATTATGTGGCTTGATATATGTATAATCTGAGCCAAGCACACACAGTTTCTGCTAAATTTATAGGATTTTGCTACGAAGCTAGTGAGCAATCTTTTCAACCATCAGAAAAACATTCAACAGACTAGCGGAGCACATTACATCTGATCTGGAAAGTACTGCTGAAGACCAAACACTCACATGCCTTTATATACAATAACTTTTTTTAATGACATCTTGCTTCACAAGCTTTACTGAATTTTAAAGCACACCAGAATCCTTGGGGACATGCCAACTGATATGTCTTCTCCTCCTGCAATAATAGCTCCTTTCATTATTTCATTGTTACATTGCTTTAGAAAAACACTGCAGGGTTACTTTAAACTAAACAGGCATGATCCTGTGAATAAAACTGTAACCTGAGACAATTTTGATATTTTCACTACATCTAAACTTTTTGTAGTATTTCTATAAAGCAAAATTTCAATACAGACATATTGTCTGAACAAACACTTTCAAAATAAAGTTCTAGAACATCATTTACCCTAGGGCTTAAGACTAAAATTCCTGAAATAGCTCAAATTAAAGACTTGTTTTGGTAAGATAAAAATTATTAAGTGACATGTGCTAACCTACAACAGCATTCTTAAAGATTACGAACAAAAATTAGGAACTAAAGATAATCTCATTACACATTGCTAGAACAATAAACTTAACTACAGAACCAGCATATTAGCATTCACAACAACTCTCTTGGATCTCTATTGAGAGATACTATCCCATTTTAGTATCTTACCCTCCAAGAAATAAATTTAAAAATATTTACTAGATAAAAAATGGTGAAGAGATGGCAGTGACTGATAAATGTTGTAGACAGTTTTATAGGAAAAGCTTCTTAATGTTATTAACAACAGTAAATTAATCTTCCTAAAACCAGACAATTTTCTTTTTCTTTTTTCCTCTCTTTTTTTTTTTTCCTTTACTAATTTTGTGCTGTATTTATGACTGAAGAACCCAGGGAGAGAAAACAGCTTTCATCTTCATGATGCAAAATACAGTGAAGTAGAGTAAAATATGGATGTTTATTACATGGTCAGCAGATGATCTCCATTTTCCGTGTCTAAAGCACAATGACATGAAAAAATGGTTTGAAAATGGGAAACGAATTCCTGTGGCAAAAACTGCAGAGGTCCCTTTCCCATCCCCACTCATAACACTACCTTCATCCTGAAAAAAGTGATGCTAGTCAGCAAATCCACTGTAGACTTCAGGTCCTGCAGCCGTTCGCGGCTGCTGGCTGGGAAGTTATTCTGTCGACACAAAAAGGGAAATCCTGTTGGAAAGCACAGTCAGATCCATGCAAGGCTTCAAGCATGTGCTAAATAAGGAAAGTGTCTTGGAAACATTTCCTGCTTGAGAAGCTTGTAACAGTCAAAACAATGCTCAATAAATAAGGCCTTTTTGCTGCAGGAGCTTATCTGTTTGCTTAATTAAATAGCTTCTCATATGAACGTGAAGTTTGTGGATGCCAGAAGACTGACAGCCCTTGGTGGCAGATCTCTCCTTGGCTGTAGAAGGAGCAGGCAGGGAGCAACAGCCTCGCCACCAGCAGCCCTGGCCTCTTGCTTTAGGGTGCTTGTGCGGGCCGTTTCCTTTCTGTACTCCCTGCTTCATTTTTGGCTTCTCTTCTGAGACACCAAGAGGTGTGGTATATTAGCAACCTCTCCAGAGAAATAAACTGGACTGAGAAGGGAAAATGAGCGCTGCTCCCTGTAAGAAGTCATTGTAACCACTCAGTCCCCTGTAAGATCCCATCTGCCAAGATAAGCATGTATTCTTCAGTGCCTCCTTCACTCTAATGCATTTATTTTATACACTCTGCCCACCACCCCGCTGTGCATAGCCACAGCTTCCTCTTCCACTCTCTGGGTTCCACTGAAATTACAAGTCTCATTGTCCCTTCCAGATATGATACGTCTGTGCACATGTGTGTATGTATGTATATATATGCATGCAAATGCTGAATGCAGGAAGCTTTGCTTCCTGCAAGAGACTGTTCCCTTTCTGACCCTGGGCATTTTGCCCTTTCCTACATTCCCATTCTTTCCTTTCTGTGTCCTTTAACAGTGTTCATGTTCCTCAGTGTGTTCTTACATTCAAGCTGATGTGATTGGTTTTGCTGCAGGTAAAATAGCAAAGGCAACCTTCAATTGGATCATCTTGTCTTATTTGCACATTCAAAAATTGTTAGAGACAAAAGTAAAAAGGGCAGAGGGGAACAAATTTTCATTTATTACTGAAGACTTGCAGAAAAATATGCTGTCTCTTGACAGCAATTGAGCATTGCTGCAGTTCAGCTAACCACTGCAAGCAATTTAATGCTCTTTACAGTCATTTGTAGATGGTCATTCCCAGACAACTCTCCTTTTAAAGTTAAGTTCATGTCCATACATGAACTCTCTGGCACTCAGGGCATTTACCAGAATCAAAGACTTCTGCGGGTCAAGATTTAAACACAAACCATGGGATAAATTTTGGAGACTGAAAGCATGTTCTTGTTTAGGAACAGTAATCAGGAAAATATAACGTTATCTGTAAGGAAATTCAACCTCCTCTGTGCTTATGTCAGCTAGCAACCAACCAACAAAAAGAACGATTGACATGAGCACAGATTAACCAATTTTCTCACGGAACACTTTTCAAAATTATATTCAGAGGACGACTTGGAGCTGCTCTTGAGAGGGCTCCACCTCTCCCCTCCTCACCTGCTACCCTGCCCCTGAAGGAACACATATTGGTTTGACATTTTTCTTTTTCACAAATCCACACTAACGGTTCTTCATTGTTTTAAGTGCTTACAAAGTGCTTGATTAAATTATAGGAAGGAGGAGGCTTAATCTGGGTAATTTAAGTTGTAAATTACCATCTCCTGTCTTAAAACCTGGAAACTAACACCTTTTTCTTCCGGAACTTAACCTGCCCTTCAGGGGTCTTAAAATAATTACTAAGAGCTCCCATTTCGCTAAATGTACTGCCCAATAAATAACATCTAAATTATTTAAACCACACAAATCTTTCCTGGTACTTTACATAACATCTTACTTGTTTGTTCAAGGTTTAGTTGCATAAGCCACCGGAAAGCAGCTTTTATTGAAGACCAAGCAAACAAAAAAAAGCATTACCAGCACAGCTTCCTATCACCATGTGTCGATAATATTCCCTCTGCTACTCAGTGGATCTATGCTCTCTTTACATCATCCCTTCCAGTAACATAGTTTTAGAATAGCTCTTTACACAACATTCCTTTTATCTTCTTTTGCACCTTGCCCCTCATGCCTTTTGTTTGTCTTCCTAATGCACTTCTCCTCTTACTTCACTCTTTTTTCCCTCCTCTGTATGTTTTACTGTGTTTCAGATAAATGCACTAACCAGAAGAGAAACTTTTAAATAAATAAAATCAAAGTTCACATTTTGCCACCGTTTTTATTTTTTTTCAACGAATTCGTTGCTAATCAAAATAATATAGCAAGGTGTTAAAAACCAGAGCGAAGTCACTTGGTAAGACTACGTTGACTCTGGAGTAGGAAAGAAGCCGGAAGGTTTAAGGAGCCTGATGGACTGATGCCTACTTTTGAAACTCATCTCTTCCCAATATGCTGAAGTGGGAGGGATCTCAATCTGAGAGAACATCTTGTAGATCTAGAGTCAGGGAGAGTGATTCAAGTTTGCCAGACCTAAAATAAGTGACAACATGGCTGCAGGTTCTCTAAAAGATTGCTGTCTTACTAGGGGAGAACAACTTTGTTTTCTCTTTGTAGATGATACCTGAGGTAGCTGATAAGAATAATTCAAATTAATCAATCCAATCCAACTTGCATTTCTGGGAGACTATCAGAGATGAGCATAGTTCAAAATCCTTAAATTATTTCAGAAGTGTTGAGGAAGTTATAATGGAAGGAAAAAAACATGGTTTAAGTTCTATCCACAAGGAAAACAAAACACTGTATTCAGGCAACAAGCTTGTCATGACAGTTCCATAAGACATAAACTACTCAACAAGTTAGAAATGTAAGAGAAATCTAAATGGTGTGTTTCCCCTCTGCCCACAAGAATGGCTGAAAGGATTCTGTTTATTCCCACTCACCCTGTACATTGAGAGATCAATCCGAAGTGAATTATGAAGCTGGTCCAGAAGCTTCACAAATCGTTCTTTCTGCGGAGTAGAAAACACCAGTAAACATCACATATGATCATTGTCCAATTGATGTTCAGAGCAAGCAGCACGATATCAGGGAATTGGTGTCAGACCTCAGGAGAGCGGGAGGAAGCAATATGGATGCATGATATTGTGCAACGAGTATTTTATTTCGATTCTTGGATTTTTATACTGTAATTATTTCTGAAGTCTGTGTAACATTAGAATTGTCAGAAAAATACTCAGTTACCACAACAAAAACCCCTCTGATTTCTAGTCTGCAATTTGCACCAAACTTATATTTAAGAGAAAATATTTATTCAGAGATAAATAAAGGAATAGGCAGAAAAGGGTCTAATTCAGCACAGTGATACAGCTCCAAGATCTTATCTATTTGTTCAGTGACAAGTATTACAGACTTCTCGTGACTATTTTCTCGAGGTCAGGTCTCTCTACTGGATTCTGGCTTGGCATTGTGAAGACCTCTCCATTCAATCTATAAATTCTCAGTCTGATGGGAAGCATGACCTTTTCCAAATATTTTTCCAGCATGCTCAAGTGCACCACATGTTATATGAAAAACATTTTAACCATTAGGGAGATAGACTTTGTTGTTGTTTTCTTCTTAAAGCAGTTGCTAGTTTTAAGAACAAAGTTCTGAAACATTCAGATTGCACGGTATAGCTTATCAACAGCATCGCCACACAGAGTTTATTATTATTTGCTCATTTCCATACCATCTGTGCTCCAGTGTGATTTGAACATGAAGAATAAACATCGCAATGCATTACACTGATTAATATCTAAAATGTGTGATGATGATGACAATAAACCTGTGCTCTTTGTCTAGTCTAGAAGAGCTCCACAGCTTCCATCACCTCACAGATTCAATGTTCCTTAAACAGAACAAGTTATTTTTTGAAAGGCAGAAGCACCATAGGCAAATTACAGAAGTCCAATTGTAACATCACCAAACACGCAAACATACCCCAAAATTGGAGGCTGCAAAGCGGTCCGAAGCAGACACATTTGTGGAGGCAGTTGTGTGTGCATAATAAGCATTGATATTGGCAAGTAAGGTGCTCATCACAGCTGGCACGCCTGGGCACATGTATTTAGAGGAGAGACATGCAAAATGCCTGCAAAAGGACAGTTCAGCAAGTCATTCCTGTCTCTTTTGTGTAGCACAACTTGACTCTATCCCTTTAATAGCCCCCTTACTCTAGCTGGCAGCATGAACAGATGGAAGTTATGTTTTCTCTCTTTCTGTAAATCTCCAGCATCTTAGAGTTTTTTCAGAAAGATACCATCTAGACAACAGATATGCTCAAAACAAGAGAAAGCCCTTCACTACAGCCTTTTCCAGATCATAAAATAGCTTCTCAACTATTTGTTGCCAACAGCTTGTGACTTAGGTGATACCCTGGGTTCTGATGCCAATTCCTAGAACCAAGTCTGACACAAGGAAATCTATATAATTTGCTGCCATTTGAGACAGCCCCAGGTTCCGAGGTGACATGAGGCAGCAGCAACTGGAAAGCATTCAAGCACAGCAAGATCACACACTAGTATTTCTGTGCTGCACTGATATGTGATTCCTTAGGGCTAACCCTTCCAGCCTGCAGGAAGCGTGCACGCTCATTTGCATTTTCCCATTTAACTGTTCTCATTAAAGTGCAAGGAACCTTCCTGCAGGAAATCTCAAAATTATGCCAGAAGTGTCCAGGCTTGTGAAATGATTAAACAAGAAAAGAAAATCTATTAGACATAAGGGGAAAAAAACCCAAAGCTTAAGAGGTCGGGTATTATGGGACATGGCAAGTAAAGTTCATTCCAACAGACAGGAGAGTTGGGCCACTTTTCCTTCATGCAGGAACCTGCACTGAGCTCCCAAACTAAATTTGGGAAATAATTTGTAGATGTAGCTTTCTCCCTAGGGGACTTACACCAGACATTAGCTTCTGTGCTAGTTAACCTACAAATGATTATAACAAAAAAAACACCTCCAGTGAGAGAATTTCACAGGAATTCACAAGTCAGTATTTCAGACAAACGTGATACTGATGCCTGAATTTAACTTGCTTGCTACATGAAACTTATGTACCAGTTGGCCATTTAGACACTTGGTAAATAAAGATAGACACATAATATGGCTTTGTTTAGCTTGAAGAGAAGGCATGAGGAGTGGAGTTTAATCAATGGCTTGACTACTTAGCAGAGAGGGGAGGCTTAGTGAGAAGACTGAGCCAGGACAAAATCCTTTTAGAGGAAAAACTGGAAGATAAGCAGCAATATGCAGCAGTTACAGCATAGGAAATTCAAAGTAGGATTTTCAATTTGAATTTCAACCAGAAATTTCTTCCCCAGAGTAATGCAGCCTGAGGACAGGAAAGGTTGTGGATCTCCATCCTTGGAAATTTTCAACACACTGAAAGAAGCCCTGAGCAGTCTGGTACAACTTCCAAGTTAGCCCAGCTATAAGCAGGGACTAGACCTCCAGAGATACCATTCAATTCTTTTCCACTTTGGCTTAAATCAACAGGCAGAAAAGGTGCTTGCAAGGTGACATAAGTACAGATCATAACTCATCCAAGGACCCAGACCCCAAAACTTTCAGCTTCTAATATGAAAAAGTTCACTCTTGTTTGTTGTATTTAATATCACATTTTAAATAAGGAATGAGCTAAGCATAGCGCTAATAGTCTTTAAGAGGAAAAATGGCTGATCCCAAATCCAAGTAAAAGTAGAGCGACAAGGAAAACGCTCTTTGAAGATCAACAATTGCATTAGCCTAGCTCCAAAGACGACAAATCAGTGGCTCCATTACTCAAAATTCCTATAAATATCTTCAGCAGCACCTGGGAAATTAGTGACTTCAGAAGACTGTATCAATTGCCACAATAGACATGTAGGACAAACATTTTGAGAAATCTTCAGTGGGATCCTTGGGCAATATCTTTTTAACAGAAGAGTGCTCAAACAGGGATTTTTAGAGTCTTAAAACAGGAATGGCTCAGCTGATCAATAATGAAATATGGTCATTTACACTACCAAAGTTGGTGTAATTCATTAGAATTAGTTTTAAAAATGCTCACACAAACTGTTCAGATAGATGCTTAATTCCAGCACATTGTCAGACATTGATTTCTAGACTTTGAGGAAACCAGTGATTCAGACACAGGCAGTCTCTTCCTGCTCACAGTAAGCCCCATAAGGAGCAGCTGTCACTGTCAAGCCTTCCATTACCAACGCACTTCATCTTCTAAATATTAACAGTCACATCAATTAGTTACACTGATTATCCGCACTAAACACCACACAAAATGCATCTTACGTCATGGCCTGGTATATTGATTCAATGCCGTAACGCATGGCAAATTCATCCACGATCTCTTGAGCTGTCTCATCAAAATACACCTTCCAGGCATCATCTCCTTTGGCATCAGGGATCTTCACCACCCCATTCCCTTGCACATCTGTGAGATGGTGAAAGAGGTTCTGAAATATAAAACAGAAATGGAATTATATGAGAGGTTGCTGAAGCCTCCAAGTGAATTTCATTAAGAGCTTGGAACTGCTGAGAAGGCAGTACTAAAACAAGTTTCTTTGCTCTCCTCCCTCTTTCTTTCCCGCTACCCACTAAGAATTTTTCTGCTTTTACCTTCTTTTCTTCTTCTAGCTGAATTTTTCACATGCATACCTACAACTCTACCCAGCAGACGTTGTGAATGATGCAGAGGAGTGCTTCAATGCAGTGAAACCACGGACTAATTAGTTTCCTAAAACCTACACATTTCTGTCCTCAGAATGAAATGCCTTAACATGGACAAGCTATTTAAACTAGCTGATGTAACAGCTCTGTACCAGCTTTGTAATTATTATTATACAGCAGAACAATCCAAACAGATTTTTTTTTTTTTTCCTGAAAAGGACATCCTTAAGATCACCCCTAACAACTAGACACTTGCATTATTATTCAATATAGCCTTTCACTTTATCTAACACTGCAAAGGCTTTCAGCTATCATTGCTGTGCAGAAATTGCACACTCACTTCAGTGGTTTTCCCAGTAATCTTCAAATTCACATCACTTACAGATTCATCAGCCTTTCACAGGCTCCCTGTAGTAAGGGATGCAAGAGTCTAATGATCTCATTAGGAGCTAGAGGACTCTGCTTTACACTACTATTTTCCTGATTAAATTATTCTAGCTGTAAATCATCTTCATTTTATGATACACAAATGAAAGAAAGTGATACTTAAAAAGAGACATATTTGCAAAAAAGGGCAGCAAGTGATCATGCATGTTCAGAAGGAAAAATGAAATAATTTACCAAGCAGAAGCCATCACTGAATTAAAAACCAATAAATATGTATTGAAGGACACAACACAGCTTACTAAAAGAAGCCTATTGATGGTTGTATCTGCCTGTTCCCTGGTAAGGCCAGAAGACAGCACAGGGCTCATCTAGCCCAGCATCTGGATAAACATGTTGTTCCCCTAGCTGAACATTCCTCTCTGTGATACGTCTGTCATTCTTTTCTAATCTGAATTTGCTTAAACCTCTCTGGACTTCATGATATTGTTGTATGTCAGGTGAAAGGGGCTCTGACTACTCTTTCTTATTCAGGCACTTAAGAGACTGACCCTGCCACGTGCCTTCTCTTTGACAGATAGACTGGGCACCATGCATCTCCCCAAAACAAGGTTTTCCCTTTAGTCATCCTCACAAGTCATCTTTGGATTTCTCCCAACTTCTGCAGCACTGCCTGCCCAGCTTAGTTTACTCTGAAACAGGGCAGTACCCAGTAACCAGAGCTTCTGTTCTGTTCCCCAATAGCTGTTCATAGCTATATAGCAGTGTAGCAGCACAGAAGACTTTAACACTAATATCTGCATCACTCAACAGCCAGAGCCAAAACCTTCCTCGGACCAGAATCAAATCATAAAGCATTTTGGTATGCCTTCTGTAAAGAAAGACATAGGTATAGTACATGCTGAAAACATCGCTCAAGGAAATTCAGAGGTTTCTCCACGTTAAACCCGTGGTGTGCTCTGAGTTGTGCCAATGCGTGACCTCTGCCTGACAGCAGCAGAGCTGTGATGGAGTGACAGACTGAGCCAGCCAGCCCTCAGCGTGGGGGAGACAGCATAAAGCCTTCTTTGCCTTCCTGACAAATGTGGATCTGATGATTCAGCATGTTTCCAGGCCTGCAGAGTAGGGAAAAGGAAGCTTATCTAGGGCAAGGAGGAATATTTCAAGGAAATAAAGGTCAGAAAATTGCTTCTTCAAGAGACAGAATGGACCTGATGACGACTGAGCTGAACCTGCTTCTTACCTCATGAAGGCAAGTGTACTGAATATGATAAGGAGCCACCTTCTCCTCGCCTTTGATCTCCACACTGATTTGCAGGCGAATAGCCCCAGACACGGCAGACTTATCTGTTCGCTTCTCTAGAAGGAAAAATCATCAGCATTTAAATCCATTTTTCATGTTCAGAGCACAGCCATCTTAGGTAAGCACATTAGAAAAGAAACTGCTGGAAGCTCAGCGTGAACTGATCAGACACACCACAGAGAAAACTTTTTTCTTTCAAAACTTTGAAAGACTGACTGTAAGCCAGTCCTTCCAACAGCAAATGTACAATAGGGTCCCTGAATCCCTTGGATTCAGTTGGCTGAATGAGAACCACCAAGGACAGATTCCTTTCCTGAGAACAGGGCTGACTGATGTGGAATTTGTTCCTGACTTCACTACAGTCTGAGCTCCTGGGAACTGCTGGTTGTCCCTATCAAGAAGTGCCCCTTGAAATCTTGCGGGCTTTTTCTCTTTCCTGCAAACTGCCCAGATGCACCCAAGTATTCTTGAATGTTCCCAAACTAACATGTGACATGTTTTCAATCCCAAAGCCCTGCTCACCAAGGTTGTACCACACATCCATCTCTCCGCTCAGAGTACGGACTTCAATGATTGTCTGCCCCAGGAAATCATCTGACTCGCGTTTCAGCCTCTGCTTGACACGCGACTTGATGTCATCATCTTCATCCCATACTCGTACCTTGATCCGGTCAGAAGAATTATGGCACTCACTGCAAACAAGACGAACATAATGTTAAACATAACACAGCCAACATTTATATGCTACATGCTTCCCATTCCTCTTGACCCACTTGTCCAACAGTGGAGGAATGCAGAAACAAAATGCAAATAAATGCCTATTTATTTAGAATTGGAGCATCTAGTAGGAGCTACACAACAACATTGTGGTGCGCTCTAAATGTTCCTGTGACATGTTAGACACTGCACTTCAGATGCATGCTGAAGGACTGCCCTACCCTGACCACAACCACCAACTTCAGACTTGGAAGTGGCTGCGTCTCTCCTGCTCCTCCTGCCTCTCCAGCAGCAGCTCCCTAAACATGTGAATTCTCTTCACTGTTGTTGCTTTTGCTGTGAAGGCCAGAACAGCCTGGTGATAGATAGCTAGGCTGGTAAACTCAGCCTACACACCCCGAAAATGCCAGTGAGCATCTCACTGGTTTCTGATAGCTTTCCCCATCAATGATCTTCTGTTCAGCTGTAGGCATTAAAGGCTACTTGCGCTTATGCATGTGCAGTATCTAAGATAGCATGGTCAAGGCCTATGACCAACACCCTTCATGCTGGTTTTTTATAGAAGAGAAATAGCTCAGGTGGAGGTACCTCTCTTACACTACTGCTTTGTGACTCTCTTGAAGTATTAATGCAAAATACATTACAATCAGATGATACAAATGCTGCCTGTAAGTGGGAGGAAAGGGTGGGATATAGCAGTTACAAAGTTGGTATTTGATTACTAGAATTGATTCTGCCTATTATTCACAGCTCAGACTGATACTTTGTGCCCTGGGTGGATCAGTAAAGACATTTCCATTAAAAAAAAAGCAGTTTACTGTTTGCTGAATTGGCACCCTCCAGCTTAATGCACAGGCAGAATTCACAGCCTCCACCTCTTTTTAGGTGTTCAAATACCTCTTGTAGATACAAACAGGCTCCTGGATGTCAGAAGTGGGTAGAAGAACCTTATTATAACAGCTCTGCTCCTTTACAGGGCATTCAATACAATAAAGCAATTTGAATGCTCATATAAGACCGTGACAAGGGTGATTACTCACCATAACCACTACAAATGTCTGCCCTCAAGGAAACAAAACCTATGAAAACAGGCAACTTCTGCTGAAGGCCTGTTTTCCAGCCTTTTTAACTTTAACATGCTGCATCTGTTGCTAAGCAACAGGGAGAAGGAAGAAATGGGTCAGAAGAGATATGCTAAGCCTGGTCAATAAGATGTGGCAGTGACTGGTATTTGCATTCTCCCTACCAACAAATCATTTGGGCTCCTATTGCCAACTATTGTGATTCAGGACCGCTTAACAGACATCCATGCAGCTTCTGCCAATTTTTCCCACATAGAGGAATAGCTGGGAATTATATGGAGAAAGTTAAGAGGCAATTTCGGGCAGTTCTGATCACGGGCAGAGAGCATCATTGCTCCCTGCCTTTGCTGTCCAATCAAAGCTGTATTTAGAGTTATGATGAAAGAAGGTTCAATGCTTCTCTCCTGCCTTTATTCTCCCGTTCCTCCTCTGCTACTTCAAGGATGTCTTCTTTTAACAAAACCATGCAGCAAGCATTCAAAAGCAGGGAACTGTCACTGAGCAGTCACGCTCGGACTGCTGCTCTTTGTAGCTCTCAAATTTATCTGAGTGCATTGCCAAATCTACCAGCAACACAGCATAAGAATGTGAAAGAAATCCTCTGTTCCTGACACGGTGCACTAATGTACATCCTGGCAGTACCATAGAGGCTCAGTGTTCAGAAGTGCATGGGTGCCTAAAACAGGTTGGCACACAGTGCCATTTACAAAGCACCAGCAAGTTAGCTCCTGACTTCTTCAGACCTCACCTTCTGGCACACCAGTGCTTTGTTAGGACCGCTTTGATCTTGTTTCTTTGCTACCAATGGTCAGAAATTGCTCTTTCCTTCAGGAAAACATTCAGTGTTTAGACCTAACTCTACCTTAGGTGGTACCACATGCATCATCCCATGCTCCTGGAGTGGCTGGCTATCATCCTTCACTTGGCTACAGAAGCATAACTCACTGCTAAGTGCTACAGGAAACTTAACAGTTGCATTTACTGAGCTACTGAAGCTTCTATTTTACCACACCTTTCTCTGGGGTTTTTAAGAAACTGCTCAATTCATATTCCTTTGCTGCTCCCATGCAAGAGAGTAAGCCTTATCACTCGCACACAGCAGCTGAAAGCCTTGGGCTGGTGGCTTACCCATAAAACATCACCATCGAAGTCTGTGGGAACCACAGGCCTTGCTTTTGGTGAAGCAAGACAGCTGTGTCAACACCAGTTCACCTTCCAGCAAGCACCCCAGAATAGACCCATGAATACTGGGGGACTTTGGCTTGTTAACTGGTAATAGGCTTTTTAACTAATGTGAAATAGCTTCCAATTTGTGACAGCATCACGACTCTGTAAGACTGTGGCTAACAAGCTCTGCTGCTAGACACTTTCCTCTTCATTAATACCAGAGCTGGTACATTTCTAAAGATGCCTGCCCCACTTCCGCTGCATTTTTGTGAAGCTTGATTTCACTGTGTGCACACATACATCCGTCCAGTCGCTCACAGCTGAGCTCCCACAGCTTTCCCAAGAGGATGAGGAAACACTCTGTGGCCCCATTGCAAGGAAGAAACTACTGAATGCTTTCAGGCCCATTTCAAAGTGCGAGAGACTGGAAACCAGGTTCCCTTGGCACATGGGTCAGAAATTGTATCTTTCTTTTATATCCATATTGTCCCAACCTTTGCAGTGGTGCCATCTTTATAAAGAACTTACTTTTACACTTCAAGCTACCAAAAAAAGTAACATTTTCAGGAAACAGGACACCAAATCTTCAAGAAAAATTAAAATCAAATAAATTGTGAACTTTTTCCATGACCTTTTTCTGCCTGAAGCGAGTGGTTACAGGAGCAATGGAAGCAGCTGAGTGCTTCTGCTGACTTGCTCTCTATCGCGCTCTCTACCTCCATCTCTTCTGCCACATTCCCCTTTGGCCTTACCCAACCCCAAACCACCAGGTCCCCAGATGTGTCCCCTGCGCTGTCAATACTCTGGCCTCTTCCCATGCCCAGCTAGCAGCTAGGCTGAGGGGAAGCATGCGAGCACGCGAAGCTGTAATTAATTCTGATCCTCACACACGGTGGCATGCCCACACACACGCTAACTGGTATATTGGTGGCTAAACAGAACAGACAACTGCTGAGTTTACATTATAGTGCCTCCCACAATGAAGTTAGTAATCTGTATCCTTCTAATCTAGCTCCAACTTCCACAAAAAAATTTGTAGAAAATGATTCTTAGTTCCAAGAACTCTGCCCATCTGTAAAGGTCGGCCAAATTGGCTCAGATGATGTCAGGGGTCTGCGACGGACCATTGCATGTGCCTCGTCTCCTCCAAAATGTGCAGAGAAAGAAATAGGAGAAGTGTCTAAAAAATGACCAGAACACCACTTTTGAACCTAATAACATTTGTGATGAATTTGCTAATCATTTGCTGCTTGTGCAGCAAACCTCCACAGGAACGGAGAAAAAAGCTGTCTGTGGGAAATGGTCTGGCTGACAAAGTAGGAAGATTTGGATGTGGTTCAAATGAAGTGTCTTGACACGGCAGGGTTCAACTGGCAGCTCTATTGTGGTCAACCTCAATGGGAATGGAAGGCAGAAAACTTCTCAGGATAGGTTAATTTTTAAACATGCCAAGTCTCCTCTATTAGGGAAAAAAAAAGGACAGTGGAGAAAACATTGAAGACAAAATCAGAGTGGTAAGAGAACGAAGTTAAAATCCTTACCATCTTAGAAGTTAAGCATGACAGCACAATAATATGTCCTGAGATCCAGCTGTTGCTGTCTAAGAATAAAGAAATGAGTTTTCTGTTCTTACTAGCATGAAGTTCTTTTCTTAGGGGAACAAGTACAATCATTTTGCTGTTACCCAGTGCTATAACACCGACTGACAAATTAATGGTGCGACTCTCCTAACTACAAAGAGCAGATAAAGTGATTCTTAGCATTACATCCTTAGCTATATTAACTCAGCCTTCCCAACAGGCGCTTGCCACAAGGCATCAACTCTATGTTCAAATTTAAGTTTCGCATTGGTAACTGAGCAGGGAGACAAGCAGGATTTTATCAGAGTGCCAGTTTCAGTGTCTGCAATACCTGGAGAATAAAGCAAGCAAGACAAACTGAATGGCCCCTGCCATGCAGTGAAGGGAGGCTGAGGGTGCAGAGTAACAGTGACATTTACAAACACAGTGGTCTCAGAAGGAGAAGTCTGAAAAACAGCTCTGAAACAGTCACATATAACCACAGAGATAACTGAAAGATGCTGAGCTTGATAAGAGGCTCAGCAGTTGAAAAGAAAATCGAGGAACCAAATAGAAGCTTTGGGGTGACAACCCGGTGGTTAGCTATGCAACAGCACCATTCCCAAAGGATTAACAGGAATATGTATCATGTGGGGCTCTGCTTGCCCTAGTAAAATACTGATTATCTGCTAGCAGGAGGCATTGCATTTGTTTTACCTCAGTTACTCTTTTGCAGTGAGGGAGAATAAACATGCCTCTTGCAAACTGTTCAATGACAATGTAATCTGTTCCAGGCAATGATTTCACACCCACCATTCAAAGCTTCAGACACAGCTGCACTCAAACAATACAACTTCAAGAGGATATTACTGTAAAACGATCAAGTCATTTTGTGCCAAGGCCAAGAAAAACAGCAAAGTCCTGTTTGAATCCAGTAACTTCCAAGTGCTCATGGTCTTTGAAGACTGGGGTGCTTCCCGACAAAAAGGTAAGGACTAGCAGCCTCCAAACAAGCCCAGGGCTCTTCTTTTAAGGAGGATGGCAGGTGAGTTTGCTAAGCCACTATCCACCATATTTGAGAAGTTGTGGCAGTCTGGTGACGTTCCCACTGACTGGAAAAGGGGAAATATAACCCCCATTTTTAAGAAGGGTAAAAAGGAAGACCCAGGGAACTACAGGCTGGTCAGTCTCACCTCCGTGCCTGGCAAGATCATAGAGCAGACCCTCCTGGAGACTATGCTCAGGCACATGGAAGATAAGGAGGTGACTGGTGACAGCCAACATGGCTTCATTAAGGGCAAATCGTGCCTGACACATCTGGTGGCCTTCTATGATGGGGTTACAGTGTTGGTGGATAAGGGAAGAGCAACTGATGTTATCTACCTGGACTTGTGCAAAGCATCTGACTCTGTCCTGCATGACATCCTTCTCTCTAAATTGGAGAGACAGGGATTTGACAGATGGACCACTCAGTGGATAAGGAATTGGCTAGATGGTTGCACTCAAAGAGTTGTGGTCAACGGCTCAATGTCCAAGTGGAGATCAGTGATGAGTGTCATTTCTCAGGGGCTGGCATTGTGACTTGCACTGTTCAACATCTTTGTCAGTGACACGGACAGTGGGATCAAGCGCACCCTCAGCAAGTTTCCTGATGATACCAAGCTGCATGGTACAGTTGACATGCTGGAGGGAAGGGATGCCATCCAGAGGGACCTTGACAGGCTGGAGAGGTGGGCCTGTGCGAACTGCATGAGGTTCAACAAGTCCAAGTGCAAGGTCCTGCATGTGGGTCGGCACAATCCCAAGCACAACTACAGGCTGGGCAGAGAATGGATTGAGGGCAGCCCTGAGGAGAAGGACTTGGGGGTGTTGGAGGACCAGAAGCTCAACATGACTCAGTAATGTGCACTTGCAGCCAACCATGTCCTGGGCTTCATCAAAAGCAGTGTGACCAGCAGGTTGAGGGAGGTGATCCTGCCTCTCTGCTCTGCTTTCGTGAGACCCCACCTGGAGTACTGTGTCCAGCTCTGGGGGCCCCAGTACAAGAAGGACATGGAGCTGTTGGAGAGAGTCCAGAGGAGGGCCATGAAGCTGATCAGAGGGCTGGAGCACCACTCCTACAAGGACAGGCTGAGAGATTTGGGGTTGTTCAGCCTGGAGAAGAGAACGCTCTGGGGACACCTTATAACTGCCTTGCAGTACCTAAAGGGGCCTACAGGAAAGATGGAGAAGGACTGTTTACAAGGGCATGGAGTGAACGGGACAAGGGGTAATGGCCTTAAGCTGAAGGAGGGTCGATTTAGATTACATGTTAGGAAGAAATTTTTCACAGTGAGGGTGGTGAGGCACTGGAACAGGTTGCCCAGAGAAGCTGTGGATGCCCCCTCCCTGGAAGGGTCCAAAGCCCGGTTGGATGGGGTTTTGGGCAACCTGGTCTAGTGGAGGGTGTCCCTACCCATGGCAGGGGGGTTGGAACTAGATGATCTTTGAGGTCCCTTCCAACCCAAACCATTATATGATTCTATGGTTTAAAATGGAAACTCTGTCCTGTGGTCAAAAGATTATTCTCCTAAACACTGTCTGCCTTTGTAACACATTCAAATGCTCAATATCAGCCTTTACAAAAAAAGATTCTAGAAAGTCTCTATTTTCTACGGATAGATGAAATGTGTCTAAATGGAGAATTCACGTCCTCTTATAATTGTACTGAATAGTGCAAAATATCTTCCCTCTAATATTACTGGATTGTTTCCTAAGGAAATGAGAGTTACGCAGACTTATCAAAGCTTCTACGTTCCAACAAATTTTGTAAAAAAATTACAGCTAGATGGAGAAGAGAAACCCATACTGGCTGCCATCCCTGGAAAGTCTGTAGCCACCCAGCTCTCATGTACCAACCAATCCAGAAAACTCTGAACAGGTAGGACACATGCTGCCTTCTGTCCAGCCAAAGTTAAGGGCAAGGGAAGAGAGGTGAGGGGACACAGGACAAAGCAAGGAGGCCACCTATAAGCCTCTTCATCATAGCTATAGGAAAGGGATCTGGGATTATTGCAGAACAGGAATGGGATGTAAAGCAAGAGAAACAGGCTTCCTTGCTCACAGAACATAATTTCTGTAATGCAGCAATGGCTGGTGTCCCCCGTTGAGCTTCTTCCTGCCAAGCACCATATATGCAGTCTTTGCATCAAGTCTGCAAAACTCTGAACTGAGCAGAAAGATCAATCCCTTACAGGTCTTCAAACTCCAATGAAAGATACAAAAATCTCTCTATAACAACACCCAAAGCTAAAGATGTAAATATACAAAGAGATAATTTTCAGAAAGAAACATGACCTGCAACCACTTGCTTAGACAACGTGAACATGCTCCAAGAACTGGTGATTAATCTAAGCAGATGCCTTCAGTGACACAGGCTACTAGTGACCTCAATAGCGCTTATGATGGAAACCTGAAGTGTTTTCAACATTGTCTTTTCTAAAATACAGTTCTAAATCTGAACTTCCAAATTAGGTCAAGCCTACCACAACATTTTTTTCTGAAAATATATAGAAAAGAAACAAAGTCGTATTTAAGGAGACTTATTTAAGTTAATATACTTTTCTATCCATCACTGTAAATAAGCACAAAAACCTATTTGAAATAGGTTATTGCAGCCTTAAAAATTTTAAAACTTATTTAAGCTGCTTTTAATAAACTTTACTGAGTCTGTAGAAAGAATTCTGTCACTCGTCTGTACATAGTTGGTCTCAATTCATGCCATGGATTACAATAACAATGCTATACTTATAATGACTGATGCACACAGATTTCTGGCTCTACATCCAACCTTTGAAGACACTAGAATTGTGATTGTGTAAGAGACACTGGGCACCTAATGAACATCAGCTACAAACAAGTCTGTGCAACAAGACAGACAAGGAACAGCAATTGCTAACCCACACATTAGTTACTGACCTGACCTCTCTCTACTCACATATCTTGCACCCATTGAAATGTTTAAGCATTTTGAACACCAAACTTTTCATATGTCTACTGCAAGGCAGTCTTTCAATAATTACCAGCACACCATTCTACCACTGTAACAAATTAACTTCATTCTAAGAAACAAACACCCTCCACTCCAACCCTTTAAATCTGACAATCTCTTGATTGTCCTAACAATCTCTTCTAAAAAAGTTTGATATGTAATGGGTATTTTTGGCCTGCAGATGTTGATTTAAATTTCCATTTGATTATGAAGTAGAAAATTTCATAAATTTTGAGCATTGTAAGCTGAAAAAAGATCCATAAATGAAAAAAACCCCACAAAACAAACAAACAAACAACCCCCCAAAAAAGAAGACGGGCGTGTAAAACACCAGTGCTGCATACACTTCTAAAGGACTCTCCTCCTCCTCCAGCATAAGGTGAGCTTTGACATCTACTAATGAAATGACACACTGATTCCAGTACTGAATGCTTTCCTGCCATTGATCTGGACACTGCTCATTTCCTTCATCTCCTCCTGCTATTCTAAGGCAATTAAAACAACCACCTAGACACAGACAAGACAGAAAGTAGCATCAACTCTAATGCCCAACAGCATATTATCTGCTGAATCACAGACATGGCGATAAAATTTAAACAGTGGCACTGTTAAAACTGTGACATTTATCACGTTGCGCTATCTATCTTTAAACACAGTATTTGTTGGAGCTCCTAAAATTAGAAGGGAACACACTGCAAATACCATGGTAACTACTTGGCATGGTAAATCAGGGTCCTTAAGGCTCCCAACACAGACTTACTGCTATTGTGACTAGAGTTATCCAAATGGAACCTATGCATACTTACTACTTACCAAGCAGTAATGCTACCTTGGATTAAACCAAGAATAAAGCCAACGGCTTACTCGCTCAAAATAGCACCAAGATTTTTCTGATGTTAATGAGTAGCTCAAAACTACTTTAAAAATAATATTGTTTGTACTGTGCATTGTAAAGACAAAGCTGGGCTGATATAAGCCTGATTTTAAGACAAACAAATTTCAGTTTGCAGTGACAGCTCCCCTCAAGCAGTTTAGGAAAAAACAGGGAAGGAAAAACTAGGAAAGGGAGAGAAGAGACAAGGGAAGAGCTTACACATTAAAGGAAATAAAGATGTTTGAGGTTGAATGAGATCATCCAGAATCTTCAGAAAACACTTGCTTGTTGGATTTCATGTCTCCATTTTGTTTTATAAGATGTTCAATGATAAATTGAGGATACTGTTTACTTATTCAATAAAAGCAGGGTGGAATAATGCATTCTTCAGCCTTCTGAGAGTAGTTAATATCTAAAGAATTGTGCCTCCAGCCTTTGCTTTCAATTCAGACATATATACATTGGTCATCTTGAAAGCAGATAATCCCTCAAGTTATTGTTACATTGATTTTCCAGAATTAAAAGGGGAGACTGGTAGTGTCACAAACAAATGACAGGCAACTATCTACTTTTAACCTTTGTTGGTCAAACACCAGTAGCAGGTCACAGCAACAGGTCACAGGAAGTTTGCTTAGTCTTTTATACAAACTTTACTCTTCTATATTTCAAATAATTTTGAAAGTATGTCTATTAACCAGGAACAAAAGTTACCGAGTCAAAGATTTTCCTTTCTCTTTAGCTTTCTATAGAAACATCAGTGTAAGTGTTCACAGAGCAGACAATTTATATATACACAAGTAAGATAGATGAAATGGACAGGTGTGTGCTATGTACGTTGCTAAAGACATTAACCTTCCAGATGCACACACAGAACGCTGAGCAGAAATGAAACCATTGTACATTACAGGTGGTGTGGGAACACATACTGACAGAGAAGATATTGCTGTTGAAGCACAGATTGTACAAACAGGCAAAACGGGGCTGAAAGTCCTTGTAAGAGCACTTACAAGTAAAACTTCTCTTCCCAAATGGGGTTCAGATTCCCAAAAATGGTTTTTGTCCTCTTCTTTGTTTTACCAACTTGAACAGTTACGTATGGATCGCTGGACCCAGTCTTGTCTTTGGCCTGCAGACCCTGAGCACATACCACTGGAAGGAAAAGAGAAGAGTTACCACCACCATGCAATAAGACAATGCGTTCACCCGCTACAGGAAGCAGCAGCTCAGAACGGCCAGAGAAACAGGAGTATCACTCATGAGAGCTTTTCTGATGAGACTCAGCTCGTGGTGCACTACAGTGCCTAGCGCAGGAGTATCTCTACATGATACTTGTACACTAAGCAGAAAGAGACCCAGGTCAGACAAGCCCTTCCTCTCCGTTCTCTATAGCTTCACGCCAGCTCTCTCTTACCTTAGGCTCCCGAACGAGGCCAAAGGAACCCATAGCTCCCTCACTCACCCGTGATTGTGATCTTTGCTGACCATTTTGAGGTGCCATCAAGCACGCTCTGCTTCACTGTCTTCATCTGCTGAGCATGTGTCAATTTGCTCTCACAGAACACATCTCTGATCAAGTCAAAGATCTCTGGCTTGTTCCGCTCCCGGATTTTCATGCGATCCTTCATGGCCATGATGAAATTCTGGGTTCGGTCTTCAGCTCCATGCTTTGAGCTCTTCTCTGCTGCTCCTGTGTACCACAAAGTACACAATATTAATCAGAAATAAAGTCATGTTTCACTGAATCTGGACAGTAGGATCAAAGCCATGAGTTACCCTCCACATGATGGCTTCTGCTATTGACTTTTACAGTCAGACCCTCCCCATTTCAACATACACACAAGAGAATTTGGACCACCTGGAGCTGGGTGGGGATAATGGAAGGGGGTGCCTAGGTTCCTCTATAACCTGGCTGCTCTCCTGACAACAGGCCTGAGTTTAACACCTTTGCAGCTGAGGAAGACCTAGATATTAGGTTCTTTCTTTAACAGCAGACATCAGCATACCCCTTCCTCTCATCATCTTGCTTTGAAAAATGCTAAGAAGAGGACATAGGACCTCCATTACAAATAGTACAAATTTTTTCTCCATGCTGCACCTCAGCGCCACGAAAGAGTAGAAGTTCAGATGGGCTGACACAGTCAGCATTTCCTAGTGATGTGTGCCACACAACTCCCTGTTCAGCACAGAGTCACTGCACAATCTATGTCCTATTCTTCTACCTGGAACCACCCTGTTTGGATCAGGTGGCATCGAAAGCACCTCTCTGGATCCCACTCTATTTTATCAGTTTGTAAGGAGACAACTCAAATAATCCATTCTTAGAATCACATAGGCACAGTGTCTATCACAAATACCTATAAGGCAGCAAATTCAATAGTTAAAAGCTTGGGCGATCTTAAGCATGGGGCACTACTACAGCATCTAGCAGCTGGAAACACAAGAGTCAGGCATAGGGCCTGTATTACATCAGTATTTAACTGTATCTGCAAAAAGAGAGGCCTCTAGTCACTTACACACCTCTTACAAAATGTAAGATTTCATATAATTATGAGATAAGAATGGTCTCACAGCCAATTACTCCCTAATCAATTGTGACAGTCATGTTTGCAGTCAAAATTCAGCCACTGACTATTGTGTCAAATGTGAGGCATGTGTTAATGAAAGCACTGACATGAGTTCACAGGGCAAAGCAGGGTGTGAAACGAAAAGCAGGAACCCAAGATTGCACTGTCTCTCTACACGCAGTCTGCAGCAATTTCAAGTTATGATCTTAAATCAGATTAAGTTAAACCAGTACAAAAGTCCGGCGAACACATTCAGTCGTAATATTTCTGTTTAATATGCTTTGGTTGTTTTTCTTCTCTTGGATTTAAAGCAAGCTGTGTCCTAGAAAAATGATCTTCATCCAGGTGTTCACCAAATATTAAGTTACCTTAAAAATACGCATTAAAGCAGGTGCAAAGGGAGCCATCAATCACAAAGATACATAAAACTGTTTTCTTCTGGAAGAAGTGGGCAAATATGATATCTGGAGCACCTTTAATATAGAGCTTTACAGTTTTGCATATGAAACAGTTTCAGCAGGTAGTGACCAAATATGAATAAAATTCTATGAACACACACACACACACACAAAGGACCCCTAGCAGTACAACATAACAGGCAACCTTGTTAGCAGGCTCGACAGGGTGCCCAGTGACTAACGCTGCCTGAAGACATCCGTTTCTAGGGCCTTCAATCTAACACCTTTCACCGTTACTAAATTCACTTCAATAAAGAAACAAAACTCAATTATAACTTCCACCATCCAAACCAAAAAGAATAAAAACACGGTTTGGAACAGACTGTGACTGCTGAAGTTTCAGAGTTCATTAAGGACACTTCATACCAAAGCACGCTATTAAAGACCTGGGTATAAAACAAGCCATAATTTCACATTACCTGATAATTATTTTTTTCATTTTACTTGCTAGAGGCTTGATGTTCAGTATTTCATTTAGTACAATAAAATGTATCTGCCCCAGAGTTTCCTATTGTTGGCTTAAGATGAAATGAAATCAAAATATTGGAATTAATTATGCGGTCCCTGCTGTCTCTGCTCACCAGTGATGAAGAACTAGCACCACCCAAAGTGATGTCTTATATGAGGCAATCATCCAGCTGTAGAGCCAACATTTATTAAAGGAATATGAAACCGAAATGATACCGGGGGCTATACTTTGAACTTCAGATAAGAAGTGCTATTCAGCTTTAACAGAACCAGGTCTTCTGGGGATGAAGGTGGACTCTACACAGTATATGCAGAACTACAGAAAATTACTGGGAAATTGGGAAAGGCCAAACCGAGCAATTTGCCTTTCCTAGCTGGAATTCTGGAATCTGTAGTGATCCAAAGAAATCAACCTTGCCCTGACCTTTCTGATGTTAAGGAAATTAAGAACCCAATTCAAACATTAAGAGTTCACGTTGTGCATGAGCAGAGTGCTCTATTTCAGAACCATTTTCTAAATAAATTACTAGCCAGGCAGCTTGCAAATATAAATGTTTCACTGTTCATCACTGAGATGGGACAAGTTATCACAATTCTGGAGTGGCATGGTCTGCATCATTGCCTTAATGCAAACACTGCAGGAGCATCAAATGATGCTTTAGAACGCAAACTTGGAGGAACGGAGGAATTCTAGTTAAAAACACGTTTAACATCCCCACCACCTCCAGAGACTTTGCACAGTGCATTTATCCCTCTGCAAGGCTAGCAGCAGTCTGGGGCATCCTGGATGTGCAAGACATGTCACATAGACCCCTAGAAAGCCCTCCCTTTAGTCACTTCTATGGCTTGGCTCTGCCTCCTGACTTTCAGAGGAAATCCTCCATCCATGCTGCTCCCCCACTCTGCCCAGGTAATTTGCCCAGGTAAGAAGGCTCCATTATTCATTCCCTGGGAATGGTCCCTCTCTCCCTGCAGAGGTTGCACCTGAACTACAGTGCAAAAGCCAGAATCAGACAAACACCTTATTTAACAATATGGACTAATAAAGAAGAGACAAACCCACTGTCTCAACAACACACACTTTCTGAATTTTAACACCTGCTTGTTGGTACAAAACCAACAGAGTTTTCAAAACAACTATTGGGGGACTAATTACCTATAATATATGTGATATAAACTCAAAGCATGTCACTACACTGGATGGCAGAAGGTTCTTTTCCTGCTGTTGGACTTGGATCATATTTATTCAGCTGCAGAAAGAAGGTTTTGGCCAGAGGATCAGCTTTTTGAGTGGTTCTATAAATGGCAACAGAAGGGCATGGGAATATACAAGTACTGTGCACAGTATCATACAAATGGCACTAGGCTTTCCTTTTCTCTTCCTCTCTAGGACTGAATTCCAAGTCAATTTATGACTGGAAACAGAAAGCAAATATGTCTATATTGGGAATTGTATTGATACAGCTATTAGTAAGCCACCAGTCCTGTTACCCTGTGCTTTAACAGGAAAAAGTCAAGAAAGCAACACTGGCAGGATAGAAGACAGCTGTTCAGTAGGCGGATAATGCTTAGAAATTATGTATTCCTGAAACTTAAAATAGATATTCAAGTTTCAAATAAAGGTATCCTTCCTCCTTCTGTGCAAATATTTTCCTACACAGGATTCTGGGAGCAAACAAGTGTTCATCACCATGGTATCTAATCATCATTCAACCCAGAAGCCAAGATGATTATCACAAGAGTGACTTAATTGGTCTCATCAACAGTCCACTCACTGAGCCGGTCTGTGGACTGCATTCTCTGAATTCAGAGTGCAACACACACAATTTTCTCATCCAAAAAGCAGCAAACATACCTGATTCTAGTCCTGAGTCAAAAAGCACTGAACAAGTCCAGAGGCAAACCAAGAACCCAGGAGCCAAAACAGTACCAAAAGCAGGGCATTCAGTAATGCAGCCCTGAAAGCTTGTGTGAAGTTCTCCAAGGTTTGTTGTTCCAGCACACTATAAAGAAGCACTAATAAAGACATATGGCTAATCACACTCACAACACAGATTTCATGTTCAACAGTAGCTTGAAGCTTGAGATCTCATTTCCTCATTTTCAAATTCTGATATCCCAGGGTCATTTCTTTTCTCAGGTTTAACTGTAATCTACTGATTAGCATCACTACAAAAAAAAACCCAAAACAACCCACCCAACAAGACACATGTGCACCAGTGGATTACTATGGCTTTTCAAACGCTAGCCCATAACTGTACAGGCCCCTTTTACAAGGACCTTGCTAGCATACTGTCCTTCCATTCCACCCTCTTCATAATTCTGCCTACTTCTCTGCATCTGTTTCTTGGTATCCTACACATCTATCCTCAACTTTACATTTCCTTTGATACCAATGTTGCACAACCCATTGTATTTTAGTTAGTACTACAACAGTGCGCAGGGCAAGAGATAAACGCTCTCTTTTGGAAAAAAGCCTTGCATGCTACGGGGATTTTAAAGAACACCCCTCCATCCCTTTTCAACCAAGTAAGAAAGGAAGTGTACTCATACAGTAGAGATTTCAAGTACTTCCAGGGATATCAGAAGGCTAGAAAGAGAGCATCTTCCCTTCAACAAGTATTTATGAGATTATGATAGAAAGGTAAGCACCCCATCATCAGAATAGTATCTTCCAAGTACCTACAACAGAAAAACAGCCTCTCAGAGGAACAACCTGGTGCCAACAGAGCCATAAACCAGATGGCTGCAGCACACATGCCACAACTGATTCCACTTTACTGTGCTTCAGACATTGCCAATTCATGGAACACCCCTG